AGACAAAGTAAGAAAGGACATAGAAAGTCAATCAAAACAAGCTTTTATAGAGCTAGAAATGCTGAGATTAGGACAGAGATCAGAGGAAATAAGAAAAATGGACCATTCAAATAGGAAAGCAGTTTCCAAGTTTGTTGTTTCACAAATTGATTCAATCATAAATGATTTGAAAACTTTTACTAATTATAAAATTATTCTTCAGACAGAAAGTTTGGATATTTTTGCAGATTTTCAGAAGTTAAATGAGAAAAAGGTTATTCAGCTCTTGAAAAAATGTGAAGAACAACTATTTGAATCATTACAAAACAATGAGGTAATGGATGAGGAAAATATTTTAGAATTGGGGAAAGAACTATCAACAAAGCTCAAGGATTTCAAAAAAGCACAAGAGCAACTGAAAATTGAGATATTGTGCAAAATAAAAGATGAGATATTAACTGTTTCAGAAGTTGCAAAGTTTGCTTACGAACTAACCCAAAGAAAAATTGAAAAGGGTATTGGAGGTATGAAAAATGAGAGTTTGGAAGCATTTCATTCACTGTCAAACTTAACAGAATCAGACATGAACCAGCTAGAACATGAATTCGAAGTGGCATTTTCATCACTAGCATTTGGTTTTCAATTTGCAATAATGTCAGGTTTTGTAACAACAATTCACAATTCACTGTCAACAAGGCTTGATGAATGCAAGAACAAAGATTTAAGTTTTAGCTTACATGACATGGTTAAAATTTTAAAGCAGGACAAGACTGTTTTAAAGAGGTCCTCACTTTTTCAACCTCTCGATCCTGGTTTTTATGTTGCAGTTGAGACAGAGTTCTACAAGGTTTTGCAATTTAAATCAATATATATCGATGACCAGCTGAACATTATTTTATCGTCAATCAACCAATTTATTTTGCCAAAGATTGACAGTCTTCTGCAAAACACTTCCTTAAGACAACTGAATTGCTATGTTAAAAATCTATATATTGCTAAAGATAAACTTTTAGCAGCCAGTATGGATAGCAAAGGCTACACTTCAAGCTCAGCATCAACCTTCACAAAAAATTGCTTTGATTTGGTTGTTAATGTTTGGGAAAGCCAGGCTAATTTCAAATCACATAAGTTGAAAGAAGAAAAGACTTTGACCATGAAGGATTTTGACCCAAAGATTGATAACTATTTTTATATCAAGGATAGCTCAAAACACTTTGACAAAGAATTTCAAGAATTTAACTCAAGCTTTCAAAGTGAACTAAACTTCTACAAAAAACTAGAAAATCAAGTGAAAGAAAACTCTGTGGAAGGGGTGATAGACTGCAATTTAGAGAATGAAATAATGATTGCCAAATTCGAAGATAAATTAGGTGCACTTGAATCAAGGACTAATGCTGGTTATGATGAAGATAAAGGCAAAAAATGGAAAAACCCAGGTTCAAGGCGATCAAAATTAGTTGAAGGTAAGAAAGCATCACCAAGAAGGCAAAGTTTGAAACATTCAATCTCACAGAAGAAAAAACTCAAAGACCTATAGGATAAAGGCATTTGTCACCTGTGGCTTTTATTCGCTAATTTTTGCTGAAAAAGACTTCAGGAGGAAATAGATTGCAAGGAGTAAAATATTGCAAACTGTATGATGTGATTTTAATATGAAACAATTATTGAGCTGCAGTACTGTGTCAGGAGTAAATCCTCCTTTTAGTTGCAAATTGCTTATTAATTCTTGTAGTTCAAAGACCCTCCCTAGTCAGATCTTTTAAATTAGTTTTTCAAGTTTACACAATTTTTCACTAGCTCTTACACAAACATTTATATCCAGGCATAGTATGAAAAGACATTTCTAGATCCCACCAATATTTTGAGAACTGTTATTCTATATTGTTTGATAATATTTCATGATATAATTGATTGCATGTTTTTGCATTGTGGGTTTTGTGTTTTAAAGCAAAACCCTCTAGTTTTCACCTGTGAGACTAGAGTTACAACCTCAGATAATTTTCTGTTGTTTTGAGAATGTTGTTACAAGTATATGTGTCCTTTAAAGGATATTTCACATTTTCATGATTATTTTCATCCTTTCAGCAATCGTATTATTTGGCTTTTATTTGAAAAGCAAGCATTTCTTTAGGAAACTTTGACCATGGTTGTTAGAGAAAGGATTGAAGGATCAGGAAAGATGATACTGGCAGAAAGTTTGGTCTCTTGATAGATTAATCAAAAGGACCATAGACCCAATAACAGATTGAGGGGACTAAAACGTTTTCGGGGGCCTAAAAATGTTAAAACCCAAGAGCAGGGTGATTTTTGTATGGTTTTAAGTACATTTTTGAAATTATTGGGATGTGGGGGGAGGCTAAACCCCCTGTAGCCTCCACGGTTCCAGATTAATCATAAACTATCTCCTTGTTATTTGCAACGAGTTTTTTAGACATTGGCAATGAAGAGATTCCAACGCTGTTTTACCTATCAACCTATCAAGTTTTCTGGGTTTTAACAAACCAATATTTCTTGGTCTTAAACTTGTATTACAGCATCTAAAATGGGGCATGCCTCTCTGTAGAAGCCATAAAGATAAGTCTCCCACATGAAAAGGAGACATTGCAGTTGGAGGGGCCACCTAAGGAGGAAAATTTTCTGGAGTTTCAGCCTTCATCAATGGCAAATCTTTCATCAAATAATTTTAGACCACGTCCTTTTGCAACTAGAGAAGGCCCTTTTACCAACAAGGAACGTCAATTTTACTTGTAGGGATCTGCCCTTCACACAAACAAATTTAACAATAAGCTTCCTGACACTCCTTTAAAAATATTGATTAACTTTTGCACCCATGCGAACAGTACAAATTTTTTTCTGGGTAATACAGTACTTACGGGGCCCAACGATGTGCCCTGAAGTGAGACTGTTCTAGGGGGTATGGGGGCGTGCACCCCAAGAAAGTTTTGATTTTTAAGGCGACTTCTTTGTCTCTGCTGACCTCCTAGAGACCTAATAATCAAACAAATCGGCCGTATCAAACTTTTTTCAGCATCCTATACACACTTTGGCGCCCCTATGAAAAAGTCAGCTGGGGGGGCCCTGGTCCCCCCGGCACCCCCTGCCAGGCCGCCACTGTGCAGCATACTATACACCCATGTTCATATAGGTGCGTTTTTCAGAAGTTGACTTTTTAGTCAAATTTTGTCAACTCGACCACCCAGCCACCCACTTTCAATTTCTTGGCACCATCCCTGGAAACGAAAATAAAAAGACAGTTTTTTAAATTATTCAGGATGGATGCCATCTTAGATTAAAGCAAGAAGGTTATTCCATAGTTTTGCTTCTTTTAAAGAAAAGTCAGCTAACGGACACGAGTGTCAGTATTTCGTATGCTACGCGGAGAGCATTCTGAGTTTCTCGTAAATAAGATTGTGGAGTAAAATCATTAAGACCGTAATCTTATATTCATTGCAAATGAATACTTCGACAGTCTTCAAAGTTCCAAACCTCCTTTTTAATAATAAAAAAAATAATATATCTCGCCAAATCTACGTTTCGGAGCAGTTACTATACCACAAACACAGAATTGCCAGGAAAGACGTCATGTGCAGTATAGTACCACAGGCTAATTTTCACTTAAGTTTGAAAAAGTTCAACCAATCTCTCGATTTCTATCAGGCCTTTTGCTTTGCTTTTTAGAATTTGTTCCATTCCTGGAAGGTGTCTTTTGAATTTTTCGCATTGCCATAAATGCTCTAAGTTTTCTTCATGTAATCCACACCTTCTGCAACTTATATTATCATACTTTCCTTTGTAGTTAGCTTTTAAATTGGTCATGTTTAGTTTCAATTTTAGTAACGTTGGTCCCTTTTTATGTTTTATATATTCTTTTATTCCAAAATTGCCTTTCTTAATGAACCTCATCTTTGTTTTATCGCTATTCTTAACTTGCAGCTCTATTTTCTTTATGATTTTGCTTTTTACTATTTTTTTCCAATCTTTCCTTGATAGATCTGAAATTTGTTTTTCTGAGTATCGTAAATTTAGTTCGATCAAGTCATTCATTATTTCATAATACCAACCATTTCTTAGGTTAAGCTGCTTTTGTTCTTGGTATACTTGTTTTGTTAAACGTGTTTCTTTCATGTTTATCAGTTTATGTAGGTACAATAGTCTTCTTAGTTTTATTCGATAAACCATTGGCTTAAGTCCACATTCATATAGTGAGCCTTGATAGGATGTTGATTTTGGTATTGAAGTGGTTAGGGTTATCGCATCTTTTTATATATTTTCAAGGGTTTTTAAGATCTTTTTGTTCATATTAGTCCATTTTTCACACCCATATAAGATTTAAGGGATAAGTACACTTACAATTTTCAAGAAGTTATCTTTATGGTGTATCAAAGCAGCTCTTCCTGATTTGATATTCTAGCTATTCTGGCGACACGTTGTGATGCATTTGTAAGTTTTGATATCTCTAAAAAACAGTCAGATTACCTTGGAGACGTTAGTAGAGACAGCCTGGGGGGCCTATTCAACATAATAACTCGGGGGGAGGGCAATTGCCCTTCCCAGTCAAAATGCCTTTCCATTGTGTCAAACAATATAGACCAGGAAATATATATACCTAGGAACTAAATATTTTTCCTAGCGTAGAGTTTTTGATCTATGTTCTGACGTTTTATACTTTGAAGAGTGCAGACGAAAAGCTTAAGTATGACTAAAAAAATATTTGCGCGTCAGATCCCTAAGGTTTTCGTCAGTGCACTGGCAATAATGCTATCGAAAAACGCAAATTTGTTTTTCTATGATCAAAGAAAAATGTAAGATCAATACTTGACAAGCAAACTGATGCCAAAAGTTGCAGTAAGCATTCATTCCGAACATGTTCCACTTGCAAGAAGTGTTTTCTTGTGAAATTTTCCTACAGCAAATTGAAATATTTTCTGCTTGATGTTATTCAGCTGTCTAAGACCCCCCCCCCCCTCCTTGACAGCACGAAACCAGCAAAATTATAGCAAAATTGTAACCATAAAGAATCCTTGTGTTTGCAACTGCGTTTTCTGTCACACAAACCATATTGTCCAATGTAATAAAGATAAACCAAAACTTCTCAATTAAAAGAAACAATTTGTTTACAAATTGTGCCACTACTTATGAAATGGTCGACACTTGTTCTGAAAAATAAGAAGTTCTTCAGAAGGGTCAAGGACACTTACAAGAACAAAAAATTTGAGAGTGTCTCAAATTTGAAAATCCTGTGTGCGTTATATTTTTGGAGTTCAAATGTTTGTAAACAGAAAGTCTCCGAAACATTTCAGACCGGAAAATTCTAGTAGCTTCCTTACTGTATTCATAGTTGACCATTGTACTCAGATCACATGAAAGACTGAAGACTTTGTTGAATGTGAGCATTTCTCTCGCACATGTTAGCATTTCCCTGGCACACAAGGCCCACTTTCCAGCACATGTTAGTTGTAACTATCACACCGCAATAAAAAGCGTGACACACTAATACAGAGTTTGACGCTACCTACTGTACCACGCTATCAGAATCGGGTGCGTGGCCGGTATTGCAGTTATATATTCAGGTTGCTTGTACCAGGGGTTAAGGGTCGAAAATTCTTTGACATGAAAATGTCTTGTATATTAAAAAACATTTATGCTTCTAGTGATTATTTAGAAGTCATTTTCTCCCTTGTTATGCTCTATCATATACGTTTATTACGAATTGTTATTTCGATCCACAACTGGGTATATATTTTTCCATCGTGTTTTTTTCGGAACCTATTCTGACGTTTTATGCTCTGAGGAGTATCAGACGAAAAAGCTTTAAGTATGTTGTAAAATGTTTGCTTTTTTCAAAGCCATTTTCGAATTGTTATTACTAAGACTTTTCTATTTCACATTTCATCAAAAAAAATGTACAAACCACTGCGTTGGGTTTTCAAAATGATTAGACGAAAGTCAACATCAGATATGTCACTTTTCTTCAGTTAAGTCTTGAATATTCACATTGCATATGGCTTTCAGCTTTACTATGGCGAATTCCATACCCAAAGTACACAATAAATCCTGCGGAAGAGGAAAGAATCATTCTATTAATTGACAAAAGTAAGTTATTATGGTAACTATACAAACAAAATTTCAAAACTTCATTTTGATTCATAATACAAACTACCTTTACAGCTCTACACCTACCTTTTATTAGGTAGCGTACAACTGGCTAGTTTGTTAAATTCTACGTTACACAATAATGTCAAGTCTAAAATTCATCAATCTTGATTTGTCAATCGCTTGCTCGCTACACAGATGCGATAATAAGTGCATCTGATGGCGATTTTGATTGCTTTTTATCATTTTTTTGCACAAATAAATCGAAGCATAAATCTTCAAGGGTAGATACTAAAGAGTTAAGTGAATTTCCCATGACTCTAAGTAAACTCATTGATGCGTTGAAAAATTGAATAGCGAAAAGTTGTCCTTTCAGCCTGAAAATTAATGGATGATATTTTCAGGCTTTACGATCGCTCATTAGTTTCGAAATCTAAAGTCAGCCAATGAAAAGAGTTATATCAACAATATCTTTAAAATCTTCTTTTACTCGTCAAGTAATAACAAACTCGTCAATTGCTTCATTTTCAAGTATTTTAGTAACGTACTATAAGCTTAGAGATATTGCATGTTCTTTTGTTTAGTAAGGATGGCTTGAGCTGATGGTAAAGAATGCGGAGTTATTGAAATCTTTCTTTACTATTAAAAACTTTCTTACCATATAATCTTTCTTTACTATTATAAACTTTCGTTGCTGATGCAGAGCATAACAAATAAGGATCATAATAATGTTAACTGTCGCGGTCAACATTGAGGCAGACCATTGATACATACCCAGAAAGAGCCAGATTCCAAATCTGATCCACGAACCCCTATCTAGCAGCATTATAAGATAAATATTAATGAACAGCGACAATGCAGGAAGCCAAGGCACAACTGGAACTCTGAAGAAGAGCGCCGCTTTATTCTCTGGTTGCACTGAAATCAGCAACAAATTGAAAATAGTTGATGCAGCCAATATGCAAAGGCCAATGATAACCGGTATGTTGTAAAGGAAAATCTTGTTAAAGGCATAAACAATGATGCTACATATTGCTGTGAGCTGAACAACCAAACAAAAGCAACCAAGGTTCACAATTAGCTCGCTCTTATCAGTTGGATGTCGTTCTATCGTAAACAGGTCCTGTGGGTTGCTTTCTGAAACAAATAAAATCAATATAATATAATATAATATAATATTGAAATGCATTTCATCATCATAGACTCTTTTGTTGTGAAGAAATATTAAGGCATTATGCACAATAATAATAAAATATTATATTTAAGAAGTTACCGGAAGCAGTGATTTTGTTTGTCGTTGGCTCTATGTCTTTCATATTGTCACCTTTAATTTGGTCAGCTTCAGATTCTTTTTCCTTTTCGCCTTTCTCTATATGAAAACTGTTTTTGCTTCCATCGTTACTTCCTTTGGGATCTTTTTCTAGATTTTCCGTTTCCACTTCATCACTTCTAAGTGAATCACCTTTTTCGTTCGGCAATATAACATTCACGTGGCTCACGCGATATCTCAGCAAAATAACACACAGAGACACAGAGCTGTAGGCAACAAGGGTACCCATTGACGTCATTTTTACCAGGTTTCCCGTATCAAAACAAAGAGCAACTGCCGCTGGAAGAAAGTAGTTTACTGAATTTGAAATACTTTGAGAACACCAGTGAATTCTATATAAAAAATACAACAAATTTGGAATAAGGAAAATCTATTTCAAGAAGATCTCCCCTGGAAGTAGGCACTTGCCAACCTTGACGTGCAGCAACTTTCTCCATGGCGGAACTTTTATTATTTTCTATGGAAGACAGAAAATGTGTATAATCTAGTACCGCTACTTTGGGATTTTGAAAGAATCACATAACCCATTACCCTCAAATATCATCTGAAAATAATTTCATTTGCAAGCATATATATATATATAAAAGCGGTTGGTGTTTTAAACAGCTTTTTAAAAAAGTAAAACTGCGGTTTGTATAGTAAAAAAGAGTCGGCGGTTACCTGTTAAGATGCCAGTAACAATACTTGCATTTACTGGCATATTTCTACTGCTTACATCGCCTAGTATACCAAACAGCAGGCCATCCTTAGACATGGCATAAACTAGTCTAGGCAGCGGAATGAGCGTTGCTGTGATGCCTCCGACAGCCCCAAGGCTCATGCTGATGAAAACAACGTAACCAAAGAAGTAGAGTCCATGCCTTTGGAAAGCTGTGACTATTGTTGCATCAACAGTCAGTAAATTGTACGGTACAAGCAATGTCAAGGCAACTGCCACCGCAACGAAGAAGAAAAAGCAAATGCCTGCAATGGAACTGAATCAAGTTACTAAAACCGTTTTTTTAAGAAGAGAAAGACATTTGGTCTTGTTTAGAATGATGTCAGTTTGGTACCGCTACCTTAAGAAATTTAAAACCTAACTGGAAAAGCTCTTCAGAATTTTTTAGGTTTTCGGTTTAAAAATTTTAAGTTTCAACTTCTTTTCTTGCAAAGGATTACGCATTTGTTCAAAAACGTATTTAACATGACTAAGCTTTAGAATTCTTTGAAATTACAATACGTAGCCTACAAGCATTATTTTTAAGTGCATTCGATATTACCTGCCTCCTTTTTGTAATTGCGATTGCAATGCCTCTTAATGACCAAAGATGTTGAAATATTGAAAATGTTGTAAGACTGGATTTGAAATATCATCAGCAAATGGATTACATTATAAAGATATATCTTTCATAAAGAAGCAAGTAGAAGCGAAAGAAGCAAGTAGAAGCGAAAGAAGCAAGTAGAAGCGAAAGAAGCAAGTAGAAGCGAAAGAAGCAAGTAGAAGCGAAAGAAGCAAGTAGAAGCGAAAGAAGCAAGTAGAAGCGAAAGAAGCAAGTAGAAGCGAAAGAAGCAAGTAGAAGCGAAAGAAGCAAGTAGAAGCGAAAGAAGCAGGTAGAAGCGAAAGAAGCAAGTAGAAGCGAAAGAAGCAAGTAGAAGCGCCATATGTTTATAGATAGTATCTATGCTTGTTTCTTTTAAAGCTAGGAAAGTGTTCGAAATCGTCTGACATATTTGGTGCTGTTGGGAGAGACAAAAGCCCCCTGCACCGGCTACTGCGCTCCTGGGTAGCTAATTGAAGATGGCACTCCAGGAACAGCCAGATAAAGGTGGAAATTTGTTTTCAATCAATGGCAGTGAATCGAAATCTAAATAGATCTGCAAGAAGATTAAAATGAACATATAACCAAAATATTAAGACAGCTTGAAACTGAGTAAGAGCGAGATAAAAATGTTATAAAAAACACTTGCCAATAGTTATCATTATGGCCAAAGGAATGGTGACACGAGGATTGGCAGTTTCCTCCGCTGACATTGCAATGACGTCATAACCAACAAAGGCATAGAAGCAGGCTGAGGCACCTTTGATAACTCCAATTACACCGTACGGCAGAAATGGAACCCAGTTGGACATACTGCCATAAACTAGGCCCAGAACTACAATCATGAGTATAATTGACGTGCTTCCGATGACGGTGACAGTAATAACAACGTTTGTTGGTTCCCATCCAAACACCATGATTATTGTTAACAGGATACAAAGCAGCGCAGCCGTAACATCAAGATGCGTCTCAAAATCTACAAATCTCACCTCAATATTAATCGATTTGAGAAGCTCATTAAGCTGCCCGTGAAGTATTGAGTTTAAATATCCCGTAAACCCTCGCGCAAATAGCGCAGTTCCAATCGCATATTCGAACAGTAAATTCCATCCAACGAGAAATCCCAGTGCTTCTCCCATCGTAGCATTCGTGTAAGTATAAGCGGAACCAGCGATTGGAATCCGCGCGGCTAATTCTGCGTAGCAAAGGCCGGACATTAAAGCGGCTAAAGCGTCTATTGTCAAAGATAATATGACTGCTGGGCCAGCCATGTTTCGAGCAGCCTGTCCTAGCAAAATATAAATCGACACACTGAGGGTGGCAGCAACACCAATGATAATCAAATGCATTATATTCAGCTTTCTTTCTAAGGACGATGCTTGCAAAGCATTTATGGACAGGCCTCTCTTCCTACTGACTGCTAGCCAAAAACGCCGAATAACTCCACTAACTGTAGCCATCTTTAATGTGTAACCAAAGTCTTTATTTGAGCGTTAACGTAGACAAAGAATGTCAACTTCAGATCCTGCTCAAAAATTCCAGAACATTTCTTCTTGTTGTAATGAGTACCAAAATCTCCTAAAATTCAAAATTCATATTAAAACAATAACAAATTTTTATTGTTTTTGGCATTTCATCATGTTGTATTTTATCAATTGATTGACGTTTTCCAAGTGGCATTGCATACGAATCAGGGCCTATTTTATGGAAATTTTCCAAGACCACACTTTAAGAAAAAAAGGCTGTATATGAAGCATGGAATTTAAAAATATCTACCGTTGCCGTAGAAAGCGTTTTTCTTTATTTATGTAAAACAAAAATATTCAACATAACACGATTACAAATATGTTTCTATTATAGCCTATTCTTTATGGACTCCGACAGTAACAGTAGTTAAAAGTTAACATTGCTAGAAGCTCTAAAATTCATACTTATCTCAATATTGAAGAACACGCTAAGCCAAAAACTTTGAAAAGCGGGGGGCTCCAATAAGAGCAGGGGGCTATTAGATTTTTGAAAATTTAATAATAGGGGAGTCCAATTATGGAAGGCCTTAGAGTAAGCTGATCAGTTTAAATCATTTCAGGTTTCAGAAATCGACATCAGGTTTGCTTTTTTTATTTTTTCTAATCCTTCTCTCTTTGTAGGCATCATCTGCCTCAGGAAATACTTTAAGGAACCATTCTTGCTCCTTTGCTTTCGATACCGAATGTTCCCATCGTTGCTTTTTGTTTATCCAAAACAAAGCAGCTGAAGTAGGGTCAAATTCTGATATGCTTGGCATGTTTTGAGACACATACAGATAACTGAACATCGTTTGTGGAGACAGGGAGTCACTGTCATTTGTTTTTATTTTGTTGTATGTGCTCATCAAACATTCAACGTCTACCGAATGTGGCTAAGCTGCTACGGTCCTTGCAAGAGCTGCTCGAATTACCATATACTCATCATAGCTAACATGAAAAACTCCATTCCACAATTTTGGATTTCCAAGACCACAAAATGTAGGAAAAATACACTAAAATAGGCCTTGAAAGGAATCATAGATTTGTCGCCAAAATGAGATAAGATAAAACAAGGGAGTGTATTACTCTATTCAACCGACCATTTACAGACAAGAATAAATCAACATGCAAGCAGACCTTCCAGTTCTCCCTTAGTGCCTTCTGTCCTCATTTTTCTAAACATACGACGTCACATTAGTAGCAACATCCCAGTGTGCGAAGTCTTGTTGAAGAAAGTTAAAAATATCAATTTCTATTTCATAAAACTTTATGATTTCCAAGGAACGGTAACCATTGCTATCAGAATGTAACCATTCAAGAAATATAATTGACTTAGGAAAGAGTGGTTTGTGCAGTCTGTTGGATCTCATAGATTTTTTTAACAATAAAGCACCAAAATATAATGACACTGACAAAATAAACATCACTGAATTTAAAAATCATTGTTTTATTGGCAAAATGTGTTCGTTAGTCAAATGGCTAATTAAGAAGAGCAGCAAATATCAACTGACTGAAAACATTCCATAAACAATAATATTGACAATGATAGTGATAATAAAAACGGTAATAAGGAGATTGGAGTGTCTACCAAGATACAATTTGTTCAAAAATCTGCCTTGTTTTGAAACGAATGACACTGAAAAAAGTTGTCGGGATATTGGAACCTAGACGAACAACCGTTGAATGTTTTAGAATATTCAATGCCAAGAAAGCAACATAAAGAATATGATAGTAGCGCATGTTTATAAGGATACCTCTTCTTCAGTACCAGTAAAATACTGCTATCAATAAGAGTACTGTAAAAGAGACGGCTGTTTACAAGATGAAAATGAGTCATTAGCACTGATAAGGCCGCCTGGCAATCCGAACGAGGGCTTGCTCTGCTCAATCATAGCACTATAATTAAAATTTTAAAAACATATTTCACAATCTGAAACTAAAAAAAACCATGGCAAAGCAAGCTTGATTAAGTGCATTCGTCTCTTGCAAAATAGTTTGGCAACATTTCGATTAAGGGAGTCTCTAGCGCTAATTTCAATTTCAATCTTGAATGGAGAGAAAAAACTCCCTTATAGTTTTTCTAAAAAAAATAAAAAATTGAAATCGGAATACCCGTCCTTTCGTATTCATCAACTTTCGAATTAAGATTTTTTCAAATAAAGGTTCTTTGAATTAAGATTATTTCAAATATACCCTGGGTGCCAGAGCCTCGGAGAGTCAAAGGATGAAGAACGGGTAAAGGAATTGCGACGGGTATTTCAAATAAATCTTCTCTCGAATTTAAGGTCCTTTCGAATTTAGTTTCTTTTGAATAAAACACCAAAATCTCGAAGAAACAAAAGAACAGCATTTTCTTGAGTTTTAGATGGCCTACTTCTTCACATCCATGGTCAGAAACATGCTGCTAAACATTCTTTATAAGCGGTTATCTAAGGAAATGAGTGTAAACAAGGGGAAAAGGTGGTGAGATTGATTGTCTTGTAAAGTTGTTTAATTTGCTTCAGAACTTTCTTAACGTGCGATCGTTTCTTGCTTTGTTAGGTCTGCATCTCTATGCTCTCTTAGCACTTTTCACGACGTAAGGCCAAATGGAAACACGGTTATATATCGAATTAGAATGACAAGGTATTACGATTGTGACAAATAAGATTTATTACCATGTGAAAAATGATCATGCTACCTATACAGAATGAATCAGAGGATATCATATCACGATATAATGCTAATAATAAGAGATTGTGTAGACAATAAATATAATGTATTGATAAAAACATATTGAAGAAACAAAAGCTATATAATAATTCATTTCAGATTAGCATGTTATCCAAATATTAAAATAAAGGAAAAATTGCCCTCTTTTATCGTTTAGATAGTTGTTGTGGGAAGTTTTCCCTGACTAGCAAAGCAACGTGCAGTGGCCATAACAACCAAGTTTTGAGATTCAAACCATGAACTGTATTTACCTCAGCTTGGAATCACCAAGGTAAAATGTTTTGTTGCGTTGTAACCTAATTATAAATTTACACTGTTCTAGAAATAATAAACTTTTACAGTAATAACACTGGCCATATTGTGCGTGCGGACGGAAAGCCTTGTTCGTTCCTTTATGATAAAGCTAAGACACTGCTTATCCTATTGTGTTCATTTGATTCTTCGTACACAAGAACAGGCAGGCAACAGTCGGTTTCAATGTTTACTGTAGCTAGAAACATCCCAAAAGCTCCATTAATAATTGCATACGTATATTTTGTCATCAAAACAGGTTAAATAATCTAAGTCAATTGACAAGATAGGAAGAACTGCAACACTCGACCTTCGCCGCTTTTCACTACAGTTTATAGTATAAATTTAAACTTTCGTACGCCGGTAAATGTAGCGTCGCTTTATTTTGAAGACACTTTAAGCAATTCACGTATTCACATAAGTTGAAAGCATAATATATTACAATTACCTGTATTACCGGAAGCCACGTCTTGCACCAACGGCCATTGCTAATTGTAACTCTTTATCAGGGTTGATCAAGACTTTGCGAACAAGCAAATGCTTGGCTTCAAGGTCTATTAACCACATTCATGACATGAACAGAGACGAACAGCCAAAAGCCACAGATTCACTATATCGCGGCTACGACCTTGCGTCCCTAACATATGGGCAATGCCACTCTCATCTTTCCAAAGGCTCATTTTTTTAATAATGGAAAATAATAATAATAATAATAATAATAATAATAATTTTTTCTTAAACATCTCATTTTCATTGAATACATTTTAAATTTACAATTATACGACTCGCTTTTACAGGCATCATATAATTGGCTTATCTGCATTACAATATTTAAAAGTCAATTAGTTCGGGGCTTAGCCATGGTTTGTTTCGATGACAGAAGATATAGTAGGTGCAGCGGATAGAAATGTTCATGAGTTTCATCAAGATGGATTTAGTTTGATTTGAGTCAAAATTAAGTTGGTGTAGCATGTCAGAGAGAGAGGTAGATGAGGTTCCCAGAATGCCAAGGGCACTCATAGAAAGGTTAACAAAGGTAACACGTTTATAGGCAGGGCTCAGTTCCTTGATAAGGTCGCTATATTTCCTAGCTTTTCGTGTACTGTTTTCGTCGATGTTGCTTTCGAACCCAACAGTAAGCTCTAGCATGTAAAGGATTCGATCTTCAGTTACGAAGACAAGATCTGGTCGATAGGAGTCGCCTGTGATTAAAGAAGGTGATAGAAATGAAGGCAGGTCGGCGTAAAGTGAGCTGTTTCTAGGTGTTGAAAGGATTTTAGCCAAATATAGAAGTACAGAATCATGTCTCCAGGTATACCTACCATGTTCAAGATAATTCTTGCAGCTAGAGACTATGTGCTGTAATGATTCTGATTGGAAACAGAAAGAGCAGGCAGATGACTGAGTAATTGACCATTTGCAGAGGTTTTTCCTAGTGGCAAGAGTGTTGTTTAGGTATTTGATGGTAAAGTTGTAAATGTTTTTTGGTAACTTTTGCTGGACACTAGACCAAAGTTGATTAGTTCCCTTAGAAGCAAATTTTAAGATGCACGAGATAATAAATCCTTGAGATGTAAGAACGTTTTCAATGCGGTTTTCGTGATCACTTTGGATGGATTTGAGAACTTGTTTGGTGTTGCGATAAACGTCATATTGTATGTTTGTACCAGTGCTAGAGTCTTTCCATAAAGAGCGAATCTCTTGGTTTGGGGACAGTCTTAAAGAGTTGCGGATAACTGTTTGGCATTGTAAGAACTTGGTAGATGGAAGAATGAGATTGATGCCAAACTTCGATTTTGGAATGACGAGGCTACTTAGTGAAGCACTTATTGGCAGCTCGAGCCATTGTCTAACAAAGCTTGAAACAACATTGTCTAGATTCTCTGTCACCCATGTCTTGCTTAAATCAGCGATGGTCAGGTTTCAGGAAATTTTGGATAGCACATATCAGTGGTATAACAGAATTTTAATAATAATAATAATAATAATATCGGATATGATTTGACAAGTTAAGAACAAACTGTAGATGTCTTATAGCCAAATATGTTCCTTGCACATCACCAGAAATTAGCAGTCCTACTGTCCATGAACTTTTTTACACCTATTTCGCCATACAATGCTACCACAAATCTTGTTTGATACACTGCACCACTTCATTGTTTCTTTTGCCACTTCCCCTGATAGACCTAGCCTTTTCAAGTCTCCCCTCACATCCTTATGTACGGTCTCAAGTGATCCAAAACACATGGCACTGATTCTTGTTGCAATTCCATTTTCATTCATTAAGTTTATCAGTGGTTGATACTTATTTTCTTTTTTTCGGTAGGATGTATCCAAATACAAATCAAAGCAGACAGTGACTTCAACAATTTCACATTCTCTCTTGTTAATTTATATCTCTAGTATATCAGGCTTCCTTTGGTTTAGCTGTCGAAATGCATTTTTAATGTGTGGAAAAGCTGTTTCTACCATTTTGTTGACAAATAACGTTGATGTTGAATTCTTTTTTTGGATTTTTTGGCATAAGAATTCTACGACCCGATCGTGCCTTCGCGAGTATAAATCTTTATACTTTCTGCAGGAATTCATTAAGTGTACCATTGATTCAGTCCTTTCATTACACATTGAACATCTTTTATCGCGATCCTTATTCCACATATCAATTAGCTGATTACAAGGAATTTGATTCATACGTGCACGTAGAATAAACTTGACTAAACTATCAGAGAGTTTCCATCCATAATAAATTTGATGCGAAATTTTTTTGTCTATATTCTCAATTCCTATAAAACTTCCTTGAATGCGGAGCTCACAGCTTTTAATGATATCCTGTTTCTCCAATTCCCCTTCAATTTCTCTTTTCAAATCTTTCCCATTCAACTCCTTGCCATTAACGACAACCACAGCAAAACCATCCTCGAAGATAACTGATCCATCAAACTTGTTAGCATGAAAAAGTAGATCTGGCCAATCAGAGTTCCCTCCATATGTTTTTGTCTTTGCTAGTCTTCGGTTGGCATCTAATGCATAACCCAAAAAATTAGTTTCGCTATCTGTCTGTCTAACACCACGTAATTTCATGTCTAATTCCAAAGATTTTCTTGCCAGATACCATATGTTCTCCTCATTGTGATTCAGCATTTTCATCAAATTAGATAAACGTGTTGCCCTATATACGTTTGATGGTCTCTTTATCCCCAGCCCCCCAAGTAGTCTGTTTATGAAAAATATCTTGTCACTGCTCTTGGGATATAAATCAAACATTTCGTAATTTTCGTAATTTTTGCATCCAGTTCTTCAAACTGTTTTTTTTCCACCTTTGTGTTTTCAAAGTGGTGTGAAATCTTTGCTAAAGCCATGTTATTGAAAGCACTGAGTTTTGAAGGAATAGAGAGCGTACATTCCTTGATTTTACCAATTATATCTTTGAATTCTTTGATGAAATCCTAAACTTGTTTTTCGTCTTCGCCTGCTATGGTAAACGATTTGCCAAGATATTTATACGATTCGGACATCTTGTACGTTGCTATTGTTTCTCCTTGAACTTTAATGGCTGGCTTTTTGTCACCTTTTCCCTTTTACCAATTGTTACCTGACCTTCGCTCATAAAATAACGCACACTTAGATGCCTTTACTTTCAAACCAGCTTGATCAAAGAGTGGTTCACATTTTATTACCATCTCTTCAAGTAGTTTTAAATCATATGTTACCATTGCAATGTCGTCTACATATGCTTGCATTGGAATTGGCCTAATGTTTCTTTCATTTTCTATATTCATACCAATCAGGGCATGATTGAATGCTGGTTTTAGTACTTTATCCACTATCACTAGAAAAATCATAACGCTCAATGGGTCACCTGTTTTTGTGCCCCTTGTGATGTAAATTTTCTGAGTCAGATTGTTACCGCAAATAACTTGAAAGCTGGAACGATGATATATGTGCTCAATAATCTATTCACGCAATGTTGTTGTAATTTCTTTATGCTTGATACTGCCAAACGCATCTGTAAAGTCAATAAATAGAATATGGAGTTTTGTGCTTATATGTCTAAAGTCATCCAACGCTGTCTTCAGGCAAAAAATTAAATCTTGCCAATTTCTTCTTTTAAGAAAAGCACTTTGCCAAAATTCAATTTGTGGCTCAATGAAGGGCAGAATTCTGTTTATGATGCAACGCGAAAATAATTTGTAAATAACAGACGATAAAGATATATCACGAAGTGTCGTTAAGTCTCGGCGTCTATAATCCTTTTTCGGAATTCTTTGCACTTTATCATGTTTCCATTCGGAGGGTACTTTTCTATTTTTTAAACTTGTATTAAATATGCCCACAATGTCAGTTTTAATTGAACTAACTTCTCTCTTTATGTTCTCATACACAATCCCATCCAGCCTTGCTGATTTTCCATTGGGTAATATTTTCACAACATTTTCAACGTTTTGTTTGGCCATATACAATCGTTCTTTATAACTTGTCTTTCTTTTGTGCAGCCAAAGATCTGTCAATTTACTCCTGGAAACCGTATCATCCGTGAACACACCTTGTCTGAGTGAAAAGAATGGTTGTATTGTTTTATTGACATAAGACAACTGCTTTTCTAACTGGAACAATATGGGGTCATCACTGTTACCACCAAGAGACGGTTCCTTTGGTAGCGTTTTTAAAATATGTAAACAATATTTGCAAAGATTTAAGTTCCATGACTTGCCATTGAAGCTTTGTTGTTGAAATTTCCCGCTTTTCACGATTATTCCAGTGATGACTTTAAGGACTTTTTCCATTTGCTAAAATCTCCCTTGCAGATAAATTTATCATAAAATAAATAATAATAATAATGAAAACATTTTTTTATTTTATATTCTTCTACTTACAACAGTAACCTCACTTTACAGGTAGTTACTATCGGCTAGCCTGGTGACAAGTTTACTAATTTTACAAAAGTTATAACATTTAAATAAAATCATATGAGTGCAAAGAATCTTTAGAAGGAGAGCAGTTCAGGGTTTGTCCAAGTCTTATTGCGCATACAGAATATATAATAGGATGTGCGTATAATTATTGCTGACAGTTTTTTAATTATAAAATTACGGTGTTGGTAGTCAAGTTTTAGTTCATCACACATATCGATGAAAGAATCACAGGAGTTACCAAAGATACCGAGACAGCTGATAGATAGATTAACAAAGTTTACTTTTTTGAACTTAGGGCGTAGTTCCTTTAGAAGGGAACGGTACTTCTCAGCTTTACGCGAAGCGTTATTGTCCAGGTTAGTCTCGAACCCAACAGTTAATTCGATGACATACAGACAGTTAGAAGCAGTTTTGATTAGCATGTCGGGAAGGAACGAATCGCCAGTTATGATACATGGTGATAAATAAGCGGGAATGTCAGCATAAATGAATACATCTCGGATACATTGAAATGATGATGCAATGAAGTGCAGGGCAGAGTCGTGCCTCCAAGTAAAACGCCCTTGCTCAAGGTATTTGTTACATCCAGCTACGACATGAAGAAGTGATTCAGGCTGAAGGCAGAATGAGCAATCTGGAGAAGAGCTAATTTTCCATAAGCAGAGGTTGTTCCTTGTGGCTAGTGTGTTGTTGAGATACCTTATCGTAAAGTTGAAGATGTTTTTTGGAAGTTTACTTTGAGCTGCAGACCAGAGTGAGGTTAACTTTGTATATGAATGCTCAAGCAGGAATGAAATGATGAAGCCTTGAGATGTTAACTGAGTTTTGAGCTTTTCAGTGTGTTCATCCCTTACACATTTCAGTACCGCCTTAGTGTTCTTGTATGCGTCGAACTGTATATTAGGTCCATAATTGGTGTTCATCCATAGGGATTTGATGTTTTCGTTGGGCGAAGATTTGAGTGAGTTTCGAAGAACAGTCTGGCACTGTTGAAACTTTACGGAAGGAAGCAGAAGCTCAAGACCAAAGTGTTTACGAGAAAGAACTATGCCACTCAATGTCGAAGATATTGGAAGCTCGAGCCACTGTCGAACGAATTTTGTGACAAGCTGATCTAAGTTTTCGCAAACCCACGTTTTGGAGAGATTAGCAACTGTGAGATCCCAAGAGAGCTTTGAAAGGATGTATTGATTAAACAGTAGAATTTTGTTCCGCGGGTGAATTTTCAAGGAATCGATAACTTTGAGCATCTCACGGAGAGAAGAGGTCAAGTGATCCTTGTGTTCCTGGTTCTTCATATCATAATTGAAGAAACGACCCAGGTATTTGAAAGATTCGCCATGTTTCACAAAAGGGACAGGATCGTTGTTAATGAAGAGTTTAGGCTGAAACTGTGCAGATCTAGTTGCAAACTTTTTAATTCCAAAGGTGATGCACTTGTCTACGCGGATGATCATATTTGCCCATTGGCACCATCTTGTAAAACAGTTTAGCAATAATTGATTTTCGCGTTCATCACTTGTGACAACTGCAGCATCATCAGCGAATTGAAACCAGTGAACCGGGTTAAACAAGCGATCATTGCCGTCATGAGGAGAAAATCCAAGTTGTTTATATTTGTCTTGTTTTACCAGCTGAATAAAGGTGTTGAAACATAAATTGAAAATGAGAGGGCTGAGGCAGTCCCCTTGCAGTACTCCTCTTTTGACTGGAATGGCCGGAGACCTGAAATTATCTGTTATAATTGAAGTGTGGAAATCAGTATAAAGATTAGACACGAGATCTTGAAAGTGAGCAGGGATGTGATGATAGTCCATAGCTTTAATGATTAAGTTATGATGGACTTCTCCAAATGCGTTCTTTAAATCCAAAAGAGTGACAACCACAGAGCGTTGCTTTATGCGTGCTTTATTGATAATATGGGCCATCAGTGAAGTATGTTCCAGCACTCCAGAGATGTTAGGAGTGAACCCTTTCTGGATCTCGTGTTCAATGAAATTATTTTGTTTGAGAAAGGAAAACAGAGCATCACGCAGGCAAGAGGTAAATATTTTTAGCGGTACAGACTCGAGGGTAATAGGTCGAAAGTTTGCCGGATCATCAATGCTGCCTTTTTTATAGACTAAAACTGTACAAGCTTTTTTCCATTCGCTAGGAACGTGGCCCGTGGTCCACACAACACGTATTATTTCAGTCAGAAATGACCGGAGGTAAGGGCATCTCTTGAAACAAATAATAGAAATCTTGTCCAAAGGGCATGGAGATCCTGCTGACTTCATTTTGCGAATAACTTTTGTCACTTTTTCATAAGACGGGGGTTGTGTATCAAATGGAACTGAAGGTTGAGAAAGAGAAGGAATCCATGGCGGTATGACAAATTGCCGGTCTGGGAAGACTGCTGAAAACATTTTAACGAAAAATTGTGTACAACGGTTAACAGAGAATGATGGCAGATGTACAACGGTTAACAGAGATAATAATAATAATAATAATAATAATAATAATCGAATGTTTTAACAGGATAACTTATCAGTACAATATATACTGTTATCATTAGGATCCTGATAATAGTACTTTAAATAAACGAAAAACTTGCAGGGATGTACATAAGGGATTTGGTAAATCAGATTGCACCACTTTGTTGACAGAGGAGAAGCCTTAAGCCCCGTTAAAACGCTCTCAACATTTCACTGAACATCGCTCAACATTTGTAGAGTGCAAATGTTGAGAGCGTTTTAACACCCTGTTCAGTGATGTTGAGTGGTGTTGAGCGGTGTTCAGCGATGTTGAGTGGAGTTTGAACAGATTCAAAAATGTTCAGCGGGTCGACTCAACATTTCTATTGTTAAAGGTGTTGTTGAGAGATGTTGAGAGCGTTTTAACACCCCATACAACAATGTTCAGTCAGCGCAAGCGCACTAGACTTGGATTTTGCGCGCCAAAGAAAGGCTTCAGCGTGTCAAGATTTCAGATCAGACCAAGAGGTTGAGAGAAGTTGAATTTTATAAATCGTAATGGCACACCATGACAAACGCTTGGAAACAGTTGGCAGTGAAAGCAAATCGGATGAGATAGCAATTCAGAGCATGTTGCAAGACCAATATCCTGACCTTAGGAAATCATCAGGCAGCTACTGTTAAAGCAAAAGAGTATCCGAAGTTCATCTTCCAAACTTGTCTTGGATCTCTGAGAGTCCGAAGTTCACCGCTCAACGAATGTTGCGTCGAATTGTTGAGAGCGTTTTAACACCCCAATTCAACATCACTAAACATCACTAAACATCACTGTACAAATGTTGAGCGATGTTCAGTGAAATGTTGAGAGCGTTTTAACGGGGCTTTATGGATGTGTTTTTATTGTACCAAAATTGCAATTTCAACAGCTATTTTGTGCCATCTTCAAATTTTGCTGAATTCATTTAACTATTTTTTTGTTAAAAATGGCTGCGAAAAGCAATGTTTCCAAACATTCTAAATATTTTTGTCTGACACTCTTAGGAGTCTAAAACCTGAGAACATAGATCAAAAGCCCCAAAGCTAAGAAATACATATTCCCAGCTGTGGATCAAAATAGCCCAATCAGTGCTGCTGATCTATGCAAAAAAAGCAAATGGAGTCCAAGGGTGCAAATGATCATCCATACAGTTCAACTGCATAATGACTACTTCAAATCACTTAATTGCTTTGCTCACAAGAATTTACAATAATCATAATACACACAATGATACCATAAGGGAAATGGAAGTGCAAAAAATAATGTGGCAAATTATACACTTTACTTTTAATATATCCAAAAAAAGATGAAGTCTGGGGAATGAAGAGCAACCAGATCCACTACAATGACAATGGTGAGTTATTGATATGCAAAAGATCATATAGATCTTATGTTGAAAAGAGGTAAAAAAATTTCAGAACATAATCAAAATCTTTCTAAATTCCACAGTGAAAACCCAGGCCCTCTCAGGATTTTGAGATGGGGTCTATCATATTGACAACTGGATGCTGTTCAGAGATAGAAACTGATAGGCACAAAGATAGAAACAATGGTTGCCAAAAATGTCAAATATACTTGGTGAGCAACAGTGTTTAACAGCTTGAAGCCAAAATGGTTGCAATACTGCAAAATATTTTACCTTACCAAAATTACCAAAACACTCATGTCATATCAAACCTATAAAGTACTTTTGTACATTACTGAAGGATGAGAATAAATCATTAGCAAAGAAGACATGAGCATAATTAAGAAACATCTTATAGGTCACAGTGAAGAAGGATGCAACAAAACTGTGGTTTAGAACAAACATTTTCAAGTCACTTTAAGATACTTTTGTGGGTTCTTTTCAGCACTAGCTTCGTGCCATTTTCTCCACTCATCAGATTTTAATGTCTCTTTGAAGGCTTTCTTTTCCCTTTCAATAAACTCTGTTTTTATTTTGTTTCTTATTTTGATCTGAGGATCAAATTTAACTGTTAGGGTGACAGTGTCCTCTTCGTTGATTATGGATACAGCATTTTTCAAATGGACACCTTTTAGAGTGAAATCCCCAACAGCCAATATGACATCACCTTCTTGCAAACGACCACTCATGGAAGCTGGACTGCCCTCAACAATCTTGTTTATAAACACTGGTTCAATGAAGTGGTATTCCCAAAATTTCTTTGTTTGAATTTTTGCTTTCTCACCACCTTTGAGAAACAACCCAAAGGTTTCATCAGTTTCTTTGGTCAATTCAACAACTCTTTGTCCATCCAATTTTCCTTTGAAATCTTTTGCAAGCAAATTATCAGCATCTCCTGGATCAACATTGGCAATCTCATTCATGTAGTGCTTCTTGATAACTTCCAAACAAGCAGCATATTCGGCTTTTTCTAAACTAGATGCTGTTGATTCTGCAGCTAATGATTCGTTGACATAAACAGCCACTTTTTTTATACCTGCTTGCCTCACTTCAAGCTGTAAGTCAAGTTTCGCAGCTATTTCCTTCAACAAAACTCCTGGGTGTGCCAGTTTGCTATATGTTTTAATCTCTGATTTTGTAAATTCTTCAGATAGAAGGGAAATTAATTTCTCAAAAATAAAGTCCTTCCCTTCTTCTTCAAAATAGCGACCAATTTCTAGATACATATTGGCCCTTTTTCTATAAATGCTCTCATTTGAAGCAGCATTTGTAGACAATATAAGTGGCAAAATCTCCATCGTCACGTGTGTAACTAAGTTAACGATATCCAATGCACTAACATATGGGTAGGTCTTTAGAAAGTGTTCTGTCAAGACACCCCGTAAAACACTTTTACCCAACACAATAAAGCGATTATCAACTTGATCTTTATAAAATTCATCTCCAATCACGACTCGGGAGCTATCTGGTGATTGATTTAAATATCGTTCAAATTGATTCGTATGGTACATGCGACGACAGAAAACATCCCGCGAGTATCGCTTGATTGGCAGTTCCACACTAGACGCTGGGTTGGCATCGTTTCTGGAAACCACGAGACAATTGCCATATTTGGAGAAAAACTTAGGCCCAGTGACATTCACTAATTCTTTGCGAAAATTTGCGTAGGCCAAAGATCGATTGAAAGTCAAATTAGAGCAAATAAAAGGTTTTGATCTATTCCACAGACTCATGCTTCTGTTCACGAAACTTTTTCCACAACAAAATACAAAGATCTTCGATTCCTGTTTCGTCTCCGGCCATAGGCCATGAAGTTCGTAAGATGCACGCGATGACCTCGTTCACGATTGATATAACCTCGGGTTGAGAAACATCGGAAAACAAAAATGATTACAATACATCTGTACACCTCACTGGAACACCCTGGCATCACGATTGGACCTCAGCTTTCGGAGAAAAGCCTCCACTTAGGCATCCTGTTTTAATACAGTATTCCTCTCACGTCAGTTTCGATCCGCGCCTGTCCGTTCATGCTTAGGACACTCCCGATGTTTTAAACTCTAAGTGAAGCAATTTTGATCTATCTTGGTTGTCGCAACCAACCCGTGCTTTACCAGCAGATATTTATATAAAGATTATAATTGTTTAAAATATGTCCTACATTCCTCAGTTTCTTTGTAGCATGTGGACTAAACTTGACCTGGCTTAATTTTTATTTCACGAAACTGATAAAGCCAGGCCAATATCTTCAGTTGAAGAAATAACATATATTTTTAGCTGCACTTGATTCAAAATCACTTTAATCAGCTTGAGCTTGTGATCGCGATGATCACGGATGAGGAAGTTCACATATCTTACCAATGTGTTGCGGCAAACAACAAAAATCAAGCAAAAACTCAAACTGTTTCTCTTCTTCAAGTAACGTTTTTTCAATTTTTCATAATTTATGACGGAAAGAAAGGATATTACGTTTTAAAACAAAATTAGAAAAACTCTAGACGTGAAGTGGAAAATACTGATATCGTCATTGAGCTGAAATCTTAAAACTTAAGGAAAATTTCCAAAAAGTTTTGCAGCAAAACAGTCGCTCTGGAGAATGCTGTATCTGGCAATGTGAGCACAAGGCCAATTTATCTCATGTTGCTGCTAGGGTGTTTGTGACGTCATGATGTCTCAGCTCTCTTGTAGAAGTAAATATAAGCTAGGTCTCTGGGTGGCTTCTCGGAGACTGCAACCTTACGATCATTATAGATAATCCATCTAGGAATAAAGGTGAAAGAAATGGATGGTAAAATGACTGAGTGTATTGAATCTGCAATGGCAGAGATATAGCCGAATATTAAGCAAAGATTATGTTAGCTTTAAGTCAAAAAAGATCTTAATCTAATGAAAAAAAGAAAGACAAGGAAAATTTCGCAAAACAGATGAATTGTTAGGAGAGCGAATAGGTGTAAAAAATGGGAAAATGACTTCGATTATAAACTGTCGGCAAAACAAGCGTCATGACATTGATATGAAATAAAAAAGAGAAAAATAACTTTACCTTCCTTCCTTGTAAATATGGCAGACATAATGGCCGCAGGAGGTTGAAGTTCCCATGTGGCTTATGAATGCAAATAGGCGATATTCTAAAATAGGAGAAGAGAGGACATGTAATGGAGGCAAGAAGGAACTTGAAAGAATCCGAGGCTTAGGGGAAAATAAGCATTGATTTAAGAGACAAAAAGTGAACAGAAGTCACTCAAGTCGAGCAAGTGAGGAAGAAAGACAAAGTCAGCTATTAGCAAAGAAACATTCCTATTTACACAATTGGTAAACGAGACAAAAGTTTAGCGCAAAAGTAAAGATGTTTTTTGTTATTTTGAATTTTTCATATTTCAAAAATGCTCTCTTAGAACGACCTTCTGTTTCATCATTTTGGGCGCTTTCAACGACTATGTCCGTTAATCAAAAATTGATGTCAATCATCGGTGATAGAGCGTCCAATTGCTTTTACCAGTTTCTCACTTGTAGGGCACTGAGTTAGAGAATGACGACAAAATTTAAAGAGAAGGGATCGACAAGAACTGAAAGCATCGAATTTAATAGGGAGAGAAAATCCCGAAGGAAGTAACTTACTTCCAGGTCCATCTGAGAATTTAGGCCCCGCTGACCTGCTGTCATCGTCAACTTCCATTTCTTCAGCGTTCAGCTCATCCGGGTGACTAAATATCCAATCCACGGCTCGTTCTACATTATTGTCCTGCATTAAAATAGCAACAGTGATGGCTAGGCTGCAGAAAATCGCCTATTCGTCATATCTATGAAGACGGAGCAATTCTGTATTAAGTGCCCATCTACACTGAAGCATAGGCAATTCTTTGGCATTTTTTGGAAATGGCTGCGTTGCTGAAACTCACAAACTGATACATACAAATAAAATTAAGAAAATTCATGGTGGATAGGGAATGTTCTTCTATTGTTTTGGTCGTAAACTTCTTTAGAATAAAGCAAAATACTTTTAGAATGAAAATCTGAATTTTGTTGATGAAGAATGGAACTTGTTTGAGCTACAAAGTAACTAAATCTGGAAAAGTATGAAAACAAACTCACCGTAGATTTTAACGCCTTGGTGGCCTGTTCCTTCGTGAAACCCATGCTTTGAATCATGCCGAGTGCTTCTTCGTTTGGCTGGAAATTCGACTTTTTGGCTGATGGCAACTCCAGTCTATCGGCGAAATCTTTAACGAGATAAAATGCGTCAATTACAAAGACTACGAAGTGCATATCAAAATATCAACTGATAAAGAAGGCAATGTAACTTGAATAAAAGACAAAGATGCAATTAGTGGCAAGTTTACCAGCGTCATCCATATGCTGAAGGATCCATTCCATCGCGCTCTCTATACCTGAAACAGCATGTGTGTATTCCATTAGGAATTGCCGAGAAAAGTATGGAAATTCAATGGGAATTTCTCAAATAAATTTACTTTTGTACGTTGGTGTCAAATTTACAACATTCAAACGATGAAAAAACTAGACTCAAAATGGAATGACTGACTTTATGAATAATTTTTATTCAAAGATATTTTTCCAAACGGTCAAATTTTAATCCAAACGCGAGCTAAGTTTAGAAGACCTTTGTTAACAAAAATGAGTTTAAAACATACCATAGGTTTGAAAGTATTCAAAGGATACCTGAATTTTTCGTGTTATAAACTGCTTTCCGGCAACCTTCCAGAACGAATCCCATTGCAGCAAGCTCCTGAACCATATTTTCATCAATATTTGGCTCTATACAATAAGCGACTTCCATAAGGATAAGCTATGTTTTTCAAATATTTTCATAAATGGCAATATTTTCAAAAAGCAATATAAAATTATATAATATAATATAAAATAGTATAGTATAAAATAATTAATATAATAGAATAATAATATAGTATAAAATAATTAATATAATAGAATATAATATAATATGATATAATATAATATGATAAAATATAATACGATATAATATAATACGATATAATATAATACGATATAATATAATATAATATAATATAAAATAATATAATATAATATAAATAAATAATATATATATATATAAATAATAAATATAATATAATATATATAATATAATATAATATAAAAAATAATATAATATAATATAATATATAAATAATATAAATAATATAATATAATACTAATATAATATAATATAATATAATATAATATAATATAATATAATATAATATAATATAATATAATATAATATAATATAATATAATAATAAGAAAGGCACCTTCAGGTTCCAGCGTGCTTGCCTTTGGGAGTTCTTCTTCTCCCGGTTGCAATCCAGTTCCTCTAAGGTGTGAAAGGTCCAGTTCATCAGGGACATCGACTGAAACATCTACAAGGGATAAACTGTGAAAGAAGATGCAGATTGCACATAAATAATAATATATATACTTCCTATGAATAAAAAACGAACTGTAAAGGAAAAAGCGTAAAGAGCAGAGCACAATGTTGAATAATCTAGATAATCTGCACATGGAAACTCAATTCAACTTCAGGATAAAATTTGTTTTTGAGCAAGATTGCTGTTTTTCAAATTTTGCTTTCAAACGTACAATCACTGCCAAAAATCTTGGAACACTAACGAAAGTTTTCAAAGGCAAATTCAGCCACCCCCTCTCTCCCCCTAGGAAAAACGTTGATTTACTATAGAAAAAAAGGGATTGTGGAGTACGCTTTTTCTTGTGGATTGTATGAAATTTTTCTATACTTTCAACATTGTTTTGGGGGGAAAGGGGGATGGAAGTACTCGAGAAAACAAATGAAAAATAAAAATCACAGCGCAAGGTGTTGGATGTTCCAAGTAATTTTGGCAGTGATTTTAAGTCCATAGAAGATTACAATTTAATTTAAAAGAAAGAACAATTCAAATTATTAGAACTTGGGTACGAACCTAATTTTCTCGGAATCCAATTGTCGTCAACAGTGAACTTTCGCATCTGCACTATCAGATAATCAGGGAAAGAGGCAAATCTTGTTGTTCTAAGGGAAACCAATCGGAAAATCAGACAATAAATTGAATATTTGAGGCCTATTTGACAAATGGAAGAGTTTGCCCGTCCAAAACAGAGTTTAAGAACTTCTAATGGAATCGTTTAGCAGAAACCGCATGATATCAGAATGCTGTTCCGCCCTGCTTTCAGCCTAACTCAGTAAATTGTACTTAGATCTCTTTTGAGCTCTTGAAGAACCTAGCTTGAAATCCATCTCTTGAATCCAAAGTCTTTGAAGTTTGCTTTTCTTCCAATACCCCGAACAAATATTGCTGGTAACTAAATATTCACCAAAGTGTTTGCTAACTGAACAAATATTGCTAGTAACTAAATATTCACCGAAGTGTTTGCTAACTGAACAAATATTGCTAGTAACTAAATATTCACCAAAGTGTTTGCTAACTGAACAAATATTGCTAGTAACTAAATATTCACCAAAGTGTTTGCTAACTGAACAAATATTGCTAGTAACTAAATATTCACCAAAGTGTTTGCTAACTGAACAAATATTGCTGGTAACTAAATATTCACCAAAGTGTTTGCTAACTGAACAAATATTGCTAGTAACTAAATATTCACCAAAGTGTTTGCTAACTGAACAAATATTGCTAGTATCTAAATATTCACCAAAGTGTTTGCTAACTGAACAAATATTGCTGGTAACTAAATATTCACCAAAGTGTTTGCTAACTGAACAAATATTGCTGGTAACTAAATATTCACCAAAGTGTTTGCTAACTGAACAAATATTGCTAGTAACTAAATATTCACCAAAGTGTTTGCTAACTGAACAAATATTGCTAGTATCTAAATATTCACCAAAGTGTTTGCTAACTGAACAAATATTGCTGGTAACTAAATATTCACCAAAGTGTTTGCTAACTGAACAAATATTGCTGGTAACTAAATATTCACCAAAGTGTTTGCTAACTGAACAAATATTGCTGGTAACTAAATATTCACCAAAGTGTTTGCTAACTGAACAAATATTGCTGGTAACTAAATATTCACCAAAGTGTTTGCTAACTGAACAAATATTGCTGGTAACTAAATATTCACCAAAGTGTTTGCTAACTGAACAAATATTGCTGGTAACTAAATATTCACCGAAGTGTTTGCTAACTGAATATTTTACAGAATTACAAAGGATGAATAGTTACACTAACTGCAATTGTTGTAGGACGCTTTCCTATTCGTAGTGTACACATAAAGCATAGTGCACTAAGCGCTGATATTTAAGTGCCACTGACATGAAAAATGAAAAAACTTCATAAAATCCATTTATTATATTTTATTATAGAGTTAGCAGTGCTGAATCGAATGGTGTAATTATTTCCTGCGTATCTTTTCGTTACCGCAATTATTTCAAGGTCCGAAGTACGGGTTTCGTCAGTTTTTGTTCGAATAAAAAATGCGGCGAATAAAAAAGAGGAATTTCATGAATCACGAACGTTTTCTGGCGTGTTGGTGCATAGGTAGGTCAGTTTATTGAGTGCTTCTGAAGGATGGGAGAATGCATACAGATGAGGATCGAAATGTCTGATGTGAAATAACGATTTCAACAATCTAGTAAAAAGCTAACAGTCCAAAACCTCTTCGAGAAAAATAAGAATGAAATGAAAAAGAATGTCACTCACCTTGAGGCTTGTGTGGGTTCTTTAACAGCACTGCTACAAAAGCTGTCAAGTATCTCTGCCTGCGCAAATGATTCTATACAGTCTGTCATTGAAACATTTAAACGGACAATTTGAGATGAATCTCTAAAGAAAAACAAACGAAGAAAGTGAGGATTTTGAAGGCAGTAAATCCCTCAGGCCTAAACAGGCAAACATACGAAATCTCGTTTTACTGGATGGCTGAAAATCTGAACGCAGATTGGCTAGTAGAAACAAATAATCCGCTTATATATACACATATGTATATATACAATTATATCCCTTTATACACAAATGCAATGACATACTGGTTTACCGGACTGCCATAACGTTCTCGATGCCGTATAGGCGGACTTGTCAAACGGTCAATACATCGATATTCATAGAAAGAAAAAGAAAACACTCAATCTTACATTTTTTCCTTATTTGCTTCTTTTTCTTTCCGCATTTCCTCAAAAGCTTTGTATTCAGCTAAAAAGCAAAAATGACTCAAAGTACAAAATAAACAACTTGAAGGAAATATCACATTATTGAATTCTACTCGTATAATACAACGTAAAGTTGCAGAACTTTTCACGCAAACCACAAACTGTTAGAAAATTTTGAAAATCATTTACATGCGAAAATCAATTGTATTTTTTACAGTGGTCTTAGCAGATACTTCAGTAATAGCTACAATTATGGTTGCGAATCACAGTTATTGAATTCGTAGCGGAATAAGGCCAATATTTCTAGCATAAGTATAAGCATAACAGCATTTTGCTGATTGAAAGCATTTTTAGTGTGCCAGTTCCAGCGGCTCGTCAATTCTCACCCTTCGTTTTAAGTGCAGAGTTCATATGCAAGACAGAGCTAATTATTTCAAATCTTTAATTAAGATTTGTTTCAGATTACTGATACAGAGGCGAAACAATATAAAACACAAAGTGTTTAAGCGTCAGGGGGCCACACCTTAAACTTCGAGGTGGAAGGGGCACTTGGTTATCAAATTTCAATAATAAATGTTAATTAAATCTGGGTTTGTCCCATTCTCTTTGGCGGAAACCCCCTTCCGAACATGAATGTAGGCTTACCAACATTGGTTGCCTTTTCAATCGGAATTCGCAGCATTAGTGACACATCCTCTCTTTTTGAATAAGAAACTTTGTTGCTTGCTAAACATTGCAGCCGATCCTCAAACTACAAGGAAAAAGGCAATAGCGTTTGTATGAAGCGGAGAGGAAGCGATGATAAAAGATTGCACGTTTATGCATTGGGGGTGACCCGCGTTATACCAATGTATGATGATGACAGAAATTAAGAAAATCAACTCTGTATATAAATAGCAAAAAAGTCAAATTCAGAAATAGGCATACCTCTAGGGCAAACAAACTTCTTAAGTCAGTTTTCGATGATCTGGAGTGCTAAAAAAGACACGGATCTAACAGTTAGAAGTACCGCTTTGATCAAATTCCATTAAACAATTAAATTGTCAAAACTGGAGCTGGGTGTTTGCTAAAAAAAATCAACACAAATCCAGAATTTGATTAGGGTCCATCCACCTTCGAGAAAATGTTTTTCCTTTGAGCGAAAAAAAACTAAAATCAAAATATAGTGGAAGAAACGTTTGGAACCTAATCGTAATGTTATATAAAGAAAATCAGTTATAAGACATCTGTTTGAGTTAATTGACAAAAAAATGAAAAATAAAGTAAAAGTAAAAGGACAGTGAGCTCATTCTGAATTTGCACACCAAGAAAAGAATCATTACAACAAGAGACTTCGCGCGAAGGAAAATAGATTTTAACAACGCACCTCTTTTCTACTTATCAATGTCAGCAAATGTAGAAGGTATTCAAAAGCATCTTGTTGTCTATTAGTTCTGAATTCAATGTGATCTTCGGCCACAATTGATTTAAAAGTTGATGGCCTTATGCCCTGCAAGAAGCAAAAATAGTCACAGCCTTGCGGCAAGCTAAAAAAGAATCACTTTCAATCATTTATTTCCTTTAGAACTGCGAAGGCCTCGAGGTTACTCATGAAACAATGCTCAACAAAATTTATCATATACCAAAATAATAAAGATACAGTGATGAAAGGCTTAATGGTATTTGACTGATATTTAGCAGTGAAATTTGACTGATATTACAGAAACAATATTTAGTCATAACACCGATAGCAAGTTGCGTAATCTCCAGCGTAGGGTCATGAATGTGTGAATTTTTCAGAGATTTATAGCCAGGATATGACATGGTTTTCATAAATAAAGAGGAAAGTTTGGTATCTTCGCGGCAGTCTACAACCGCCAGAATTTACATCCACGAAAATATATGTTTATCTGATTAAGCCGTGATATGAGTCGAGAAAAATTTCAATTTTTAGTATTCTAGTTTGAGGATCATAAAGCAAAGTAACTTTTACTTGCAAAATCGCTGTTATTTACAATTTACAGTCAATAAAGTTGTAGACATAAGGGCAAGGAAGATAATTTACACGAGCTTTTTAGTCAACTCTACTCAAATTGCGCAAAGTGAAAAGCAAATGATCTCACAAGTCCAACCCACCTGACCCGGTCTCTCCGTCTCTCCATCGTCTCCCGGGGCTGAATACTTGCCAGACAGTAAACCGTTTGCCAACTTCCTTCTAAAATTCACAAGATCATAAAACCTTTCGATACACGATTTGAGTTGAATAAAATTACTGCTTATTGGTCTGTCATAAAGTGTTTGATGCCGTATATGCTGAGATGAACCCCCCCTCCCCCTCCTTTGCTCTATAGAACAAGACGGCTCTAAGTTGCTACTCCGAGTTTCATGCTTAATGTGTTCATCAGGCAACTCATGATACCGACTTATATTGCTCTAAGCAGTATTTATTATTTCAAAAAGAAAGTTTTCACGATAAAATGTTAACAGAGCATACATACATTTGGATTTCAATGTCTTCAATTGGATGACGATTTGACTGTAGAAAACATTCACCGACATCGCAAAAATATCTACAAGAAAAAAATTCATTGAAATACCGTTCAATAAATGATCAAGTCATAATAAAAAAACAGATAACAAAGGAAAACGAAAAAGAACAGAAATCACCTTGCTTGGAATTCAGGAGTAGTAAACAAAACTTGCATCACAGAGTTCATGTAGCAACTAAAATTGGAACAAAAATTTTTGATATTAATGTGACAAAATTAAAAGCAAGACCGACAATTAAACACACATGAAGTTAAGGTAATCAGTTTGCAACTGCTTAAGACCAGTAGAGTGCAGTCAGTTCAGTAAATACTGACAAAATAGTTAAACATTCAGATTTATTTTTAGCACTCTTAATATTTGCTTTTATCTCTTTTAAGAAAAGAAATTTGAAAACGTTAATAAATTCCAACGAAATACTGTTAAATTTTCAGAAAACATTATTTGATCAATTAAGCGAAAAAAGACAGTTGCCTCCCGTAACTCTCACGACACAATTGCTCCCCATGGCAAAATGATTAATAATAATTTACTTTTGGAAGATACAAGTTGATGAACATGAGAAATACTATAAGTACATAAAGGAAATTTTTTTAGCTTAACACGATGCGTTTTCAAAAAAAATTTAGGCGAACTTAAAATGAAACATAGCATTGAAAAGTAACAAGATGGTTTCTAATAACAAAATATCATATTAAAAATTGGTGCTTTGATTATTTGAGGTGCTTAGATCTTGCATGAGAGAAACTTGCGTTCATCTCAGGTCACCTTGTTTGGACTTTGTTTACATCGAATAGCACCTTGAACATCATGCAACATCCTCTTTGCGTTGTTTTTGGGTCTTGTGACAGAGACGTGGTTTGTTCAGTTCAATATACTGTTGATATGTGCTATACTTGTCCTAATACTTGTATAAACCCTTGCTAATACTAGATGCTCTCTTACTATAAAACTAGAAACAAGTTCCGTTAGAGCCAGGAAATCACAATAAACATTCAACGAGCCTGGCAAACTGAAATGCTTCTGGAATGAGCCGAAAAGCACTTTGGTAAGTTATAATAAAATGCAGTTGAATTAAAAAACCTGTTGCCAAGGTTAATCATCCCAGTGTACGATGGACCATGCATCGGCTTCAAATCTCTACCAGACTCCTGCATTAAAAATTTCAATAAACGGTGTCAATAATTTTTGGACGGTTCTTGATCATTGTTTCATGATCATCAAAAATAATAAGAATAAGGAATCATTTCAGATAGTCCTTTTCAAAAGCAATAAATGTCAAATAATGAGACACGAGCGTGCCAAATTATTCAATCTAACATAAATTCTACAGGAGCGAAATTCCAATCTGCTATAGACTTTGAAGCGTGCAATTATATCATGGAAGAGTCATGTGGTATTGAGAAGCATCAATAAAACACATCAATAAATAGTTTCACATAAAGCACAATCTTACCTGAATATTATCCCATTCAGCTTTCAATTTCATGTTTGCCTCGATTTCGAGCTCTGTCATTGTTTTGTCAGTCTAAAAGAAAAGCGTTTAATATTTCGGATGTATATTTATAGGTATACATAAATGTTATAAATTTCATGCTAGATAGACCCAAGGCTAAAACGTTTAGCGAGCACAAGGGATATACATTTGCTTGAAAGGTATGACTCTAGCTATGAGAGGAATGATAAGACCTCCACAGAAAAGAACCATTTGCAAAAACTTCAAAATCAAGCAGTAAGAAGAATCACAAATAGCGCGTTGATGCTGATACTAGATCACTGTTAAATACTCTTGGATTTCAACCATTTCAGGATTTGATCAATACTGAAATCAACACTATGCTTTACAAGACCCTTAATGAACTAGCGTCAGAATATTAATGGGACGTATCTAGAAGGAATTCCGAAAGCCATCTGTGGGTTCTTCGCAATACCAATACAGATTATAACTGCCTAACAAAACATCAAAAAGTGGGCAAAAATGCTTTTCTTTAAGAGGTGTTTTTTTAAATCCTTTACTTATTTGAAAAACGAAAAAATTATATGATGACACGTATCGTCGCAAGTGATGACAATGTAGAAATAGGCATGGGACGCCCTTCCAGTTGAAATTAAACAGACATATTCCCTGCAGGTCTGCACAAACCAAAATTAAGTAAAACTTATTTTGCTTTCTAAATATATTGCAAAGACTTTGCTGCCCTGTTGATGCAGTTTTCTCTCGTATTCATCGGTAAATGCAAACAAACAACTAGGGAAGAGTAAACCTTGGGACTGAAAATAAACAACCAGGGAGTCTTAGATCGTTGAAAGTCAAACCGTTTAGGCTAAATAAGAAATTTGAGGCTGATCGTATTAAGCTTAACAACTTGAGCTTTCTTTTCAAACAGGTTACTGTGCGTGAATTTAGCCACATCCCTAAGACTCGTATGTAACGCAGTTTGCTTTGCTGCCAATTAGAGGCGCCATTCTTTCTACATACCCTGGCCGCAGTCATTTGTTTATAACCATGTCAACAAACGCCTGCATATCATATTCTCCTAAAGGAATGTGTAACATACCTTCTCCATTTTGAATATGTTAATTCCAAAATGGGCCAAATGTTGCTCGAGTTTGGGGTCTTCTACCATGTTGTCCTCTTCATATGAGAATACATCTGAGGAAAGATACGGATAAACCACATTTTTAGGCTGTCATTTTTGGCCAGAAAAACCTTGCCTGTCCTTTTCCGAAAAACTAAATTTCATGAAATAGATTCTGTCACCTTTCGTCAAAGAGTTTTGAATATCAAAATCATGTCAAAACAAGAGCCACAAGAAACGCACATTACATTTCAAGAAACATCTTGTTATTCTATCGAATGGAACAAACTTGAAGTGAAGGCTAATCAAAGGGGTCAACAGTAGAACTGCTACATAACTCAAGTTGTGACTTGCTTGTGATTTGAGTTTGTTTGCAACTTTATAAATTTGCACTTTACCACCGTGAAAATAGAAAGAAAACAATGGTTACCAGCTCCATCAGAAGTTATGGTTCCCAGTTTCACAGCCAATGGGTACTTTGTCTCTGCATAATATTCAATCGCATGATTGTTGCCACCAGAACCTAAGAAAACACAACTTATTCATTCACATATTCGACATTTATAGAATTAGATTGAAGTGAGTTTCTGTGCTACAATACAAAATACGACAGATAAATGATACACACCATCGAAATACCTTCTACCACAAAGTATTGTTCCATCAGTTAAGTTCATCCACAGGTTGTCTACTAGATCACATTTTGAACATTTCCAGCCACTAGAAATATAAAAACATTCTACTGTTCATAATAAGAAGGATATTTCTTAGGCTTTGTGAGTAGCAAAGGAAAGATTTGACTTTTCTTTCATTTTATCAATCCTTCTTTTCTGGAAAGAATAAAACAGCAACAAAATCAGTTAAATTATTAAAAGTTACAAAAACCTTGGTGGAACCTTGACTCCATTGTCCAACTGAAGAAGATCATTGGCATGTCTGAAGAAAAGAAAAAGATGGATGAACAAGAACTGACTGATCAATATAATCAAAAAGACTACACAAGAATGATTGATGGCATGTAAATTGATGGCATATCATATATGGCGAAAGAGAATGCCGAGAAGGTAAAAGTGGCAAGCATCCTCCTTTTTGAAGTCTCTATCGTACACTTTGAAAGCTAAACACATTTTTCTTTTGGCAAAATATCAGCTTAAAAATTCAGGGGGGACAGTTTTTATCTGATTCAAGTCAATTTTTAGTAATTGCACAAGAATTTTCAGCAAAACAGCAAAAATTGACTCCTACAATCAATATAGGATCCAGGCTTGATCAATAAATCCTATAAGGGCAAAATGAGAGATTCGACATACTTGGAAACCATTCGTTTGTCACCCTCCCAAGCAGCAATGTTGTCTAGCATTGAAGCACCTTGATGGGACAATATTGCACTGACTGCCATCAATGTCTGCAAAAGAATTTGACATGGTCTCTTTAAGACTGAACAAACTGAAAAGCTACCTTTTCATCTATCTTACCTTACATACCTTTCCTTCCTTACCTTAGCTTACCTCACTTCACTGTCATTACCTTACCTTACAATAAATTAACTTATTGCCATTATCCTGTATACCTTACTTTACCTTACCTTACCTTACCTTACCTTACCTTACCTTACCTTACCTTACCTTACCTTACCTTACCTTACCTTACCTTACCTTACCTTACATTACCTTACCTTACCTTACCTTACCTTACCTTACCTTACCTTACCTTACCTTACCTTACCTTACCTAAGCTTACTGTTGGGGAAATTTAATTAGTAGTCATCGTAGACAAGATTACGCAGGTTCAGCCCTCCGCTTAATTAAATAATTTCATATTATCCGCTGCTTTATAACCAATTAAAATAAAACTGTATGCGTGTATTTTTGAATAGAGAATACGATGTAGTTTTAGTTTTTAGATGGGAGTTCGAAGTGTAAGACGTTGTTCTTCTTGTTTATTTCTGCTACCAGTGCACACAGAGATTAGCTCTGTAACACCTACTTTTCCTTACTTTATCTTGCCTTACCTTACTGTCATGACCTTACTTACTGAACCTTACATTGCATTATCTTACCTTACCTTATCTTACTTTGACTTAACTTACCTTCCTATCATTACCTTCTCTACCCTACTTCCCTTTACCCTACCTTACTTTTCCTTTCCTTACCTTACCGTACCTTACCTCTCTTAATTTACCTTATTTGAACTCAACTTACCTTACGGTCATTACATTCATTACCTTAACCTTACCATGCCTTTTTTCTCTTTAAGAGCATAAATACTTTAATGGAAGCATGTACATACCATTTCGGGTAAATCAGTACTCGGAAGGGAAACCTCTTCAATCCTTGTACCATCAGCTTCCAAGATATGCACTGAATTGACGTCGTCGTATTGAGCCTGGAAGATAAATTTTAGCATGACGCAAGTTGAAAGACAACTACTGATGAACAGGAAAATCTACAAGAGATAAAGTTTCCTTCAAAAGAGAAAAAGTGTATAACTAAAGAATACATGGAGCATGGATCTCCTCAAGGATGTTCATACAAATTTTCCATGCTTAAAGTCTAATATAGATTGCCATGAGCCATGTGCTGTCCGGCTGCATTGTGAAAAGACTTTTGGTGACAATTGTTTTCATTTAGGCAACAAAACACATTTAGCCAATTAATAAAACTGAATAATGAAAAAACCAAATAGGTGAGAACATGTAAAACAAATACCTTATCCTTCTCAGGGTCAAATCCACCTTCAATTCCTTTAAGGAAAAATAAATAAAGTTTAAATTTCATATAACAGACTTTTAACAAGGTCACAAAGAATCTTTAAATATGCATTATTCGTCATTTTATGCGTGCGATCGCATGGGCATGCTTTGGCACACGCATGGAGCGAATAGTGCGAGCGATTGATTGCACAAGTCGGGTATTTGTTCATTGTTTTTTACCTTTCTAGGACTGCATTTATTCAACGAAATATAGAAAGTTCTGTTTCTAGAAGCAGGGCAAAATTGGCATATTTTGTGTTTCTATGTGCTAGTTATAACCGTTTGACAGAGTTGCCTAAATTGCTTTTTGAAAAGGCAAATCAGTTTGCTTCGTTGAGATTCCGCTGGTAGAAAAGGCAGTCCTGCTGCAAGACTGAAAAATTCCCTTTTGCCTAGACCAACAGACAGTGTTAGTTCATTTCCATCTCGCTCTTTTCACTTTCATTCGTTTCCCTTGTGTTCCATAGAAACAGTAACAGGTAAAGATAACAAAAACGAGCTGCAACCCAAATTATCTTCATTGACGTACCAGCTTTAAATCGGCGCAAAAACAGGTATGACGGCTCATTTATGACATTTATACTATGTTCTTATTCTAATCACGGTTGCCATATGCTTGAAATGGTTGACGAGCAAATATTTCACAGTTTCACATTTCATTGTGGAATAGTAGCTTGACAAAATTGGTTTGAAAATCAAAGTAACATACATTTTATTTTTTCCGATGTCTGTTAAACATTTGTTTTTATTTTTTTCTTTGTTTCATGTTTTGCCAACGGAGATTTCGAGATTCTTTTGACAATATGTTATGCATTATTTGTGGAAAAATAGTTTTTGCATTGCATTTTTGCTTTCTTTTGCTTTGTAGGTCACTTGCGCTAAAATTTCAACCAACTTCTCAATTTTTGCCGAATCAATTTCCGGAAGTCAAGGGCCTTGAAATAAGGCCAGAAGGAAGGAATTTGGCTGTCAAAGCGACCAAATAGCAGCATTGGCTTTGATGTGCACTAAGCTTTAAATCTGGGGAAAATGCGCGTGAGAAACAAAAAAGTCGTTTGACACTGATCTCCAGAAAGACAGTTGCATTTTATTTTCGTAAAATCTCTATTGAACTAGCAACCTGACTTTCAGATAGGAAAGAGTCTGAATCACACACATTAAATATTTGTTGAAATATCAATTATTCAAAGCTAAGAAAAGATTAGGCTTGAATTAGCCATAAAAAGTTCTGTCTGGGTAAACGAGGTTAATTTACCTATAGCTAGCCTTGTTGGTTTCTTTGCTTCTGGTTCTCCAGCAGTGCTCATATCTACCTTGAAAAAATAAAAGCAATTGAAAAAAATGAAAAAAGAGATATATAGAGCTTTGCCAAAATGATAACATCCTTATTTGGGTTATTAGGTCAAACATTTAACTATATCTGGCTGGTTTTTCAATAGATGGTTGAAGAACTTCGTAATTTGCGGCTTCTATTTGAGGGCGGCTTTTAATTTTTTTTTCATCAAAAACTGCTGCTTTTATTCAAGGGCGGCTTCTTTTCGAGGGCGGCTTCTATTTGAAAAAATACGGTATGTATTACATTTTGAGAGGCAAGATTATGAAGCTAAAAAAAAGGATTTTTTTTTCATTTTTTTTTCGTCCTTCTGATTCAGTTTGGCAAACTCTTTCAACAAGGTATGATACTTAAAAATGCCTCTTTTAGAGAAGACCAGAAAAATTTTCAATTCGTATAATTTACAACACTTGACTTTGAATAAATGATATGACTTAATATCTTGCTTTATTTCAATCCTGATGTTGTTATATGTTCAAATATAAGAAAAAATAAAAATACATATTAAAGGTAATTGTCAAAAAATCTAAATTCATCGCCCACCTGTCAAATTTCCTATCTATGTCACTAATTATGGGTAAATGATTTGTTGAAATTAAACTAAAAAAGCACAGAAACAAAACAAAACAATGCATAATGCAGCTTGAAAACAACAACTTACATTATAAACATAATTATTTCTGGTCCGAATAAATCTGTGAATGCATCACAAGGAAAGTGCGTATGATTATTATTGAAAATTTAGAGTTTTGAAATTTCTTCAGCTTGGCTTCAGACCTGGAATGGTTTCATTTAAAATAGTACACAGTCTTACTTAGATAGTCTAGTTGTGTCATAGAGCATACTTTGTCAATGCATGTAGTTTTGACAGTATAAATTGATATGACTGTTAAAAACCTACTGATTTCCTAACTTTCTTCAAATGCAAGAAAGCTTCTTTCCCATGCTTTATACAAAATAACTTCACATGATCTTGACAGAATCCCTGAAGTGTTGTCAAGGATACAAAGAGCCCACCATCAGAGTACTAAAAGAAAAAATACCACAGGCACACTCAAATGATTGTTAATGGATTGAAAGAATTTGCAGTATGAGTAGGCTTTATTTTTGATGTTGCATTTCAAAATAATTGGAATAATGAGTTTACTAAGAAACTTTATTTCTAGCTTTGTTTCATTTCAGTTCAAAATCATTGGGATGTATGGATCTTCATTTCCAAAATCATGCATCAAAACATAGGACAATCTCCTACTATGACTGAAATCTTCACAGAAACAGGAAATATTTTCCAACGATTGGATCTGTTTAGAGAAAAATTAGCTATTTGTAAACAGAAACCTATTTTAACCAAATGGGGAAATGTTTTGATGTGGAATGCTCAATATTCTTACATTAGAGTGAAACAAAATTTCCATGCTTCTGAGGGAAAAGAAAAAATTCTTAATAGATGTTTACCACAATTAATCTCAAAATTTCACATGTTAATGCTTAAGCAACAAACAAGGTCCATCTTTTATATTTATATTTATATATGGATTTTGTGTCTCTCTCTTTGCATAATTGATCTGGTACATATAGGGTAGTACGCTATTTGGTGCCTTGCTTCTCAAGATATTTGGCCTTTTCTGAAAAAGAAACCAGTCAGGAAAGCTTTCTGCTTTACAATGATTCCTACAGCTTGATTTACTGATCGTTACAATGGAACAAAGGGCATGTGATTCCACAACCCAATCGAAAAGCCCAATTTTCCTGTTTTTGTCAATACATGACTTTGATGAAGCACAAAAGCAAGCGAACTGCGAGTCAAGTGGGTTATTTTGTTTTTGATTGTCGTTGGGAGTGGTTGCTTTTGAGAGTGTTGATCGACCTTTTTATAAAAAATGTCTTCCTGTCTTTCAAACCCCTATTTAGAAATTGCAACAAAAAAAGGACTTGCGAAGTGGTTGCTGATGGTTCGCTTTCCCACCTTGCTACTGCCACAAAAAGTTGCACATAGAAAAGTTTCGCGTATATATTTTGAGTAACAATCACGATATAATTTCTCAAAACTTTGGCGTGTTGTTTTGTTGGAAGCAGGCGAGGTGATCTTGCCCCTGCCATGAACAGAATTGCCAATTGAAACAACTGTTTGATTTGCATCAATTAAATATGATTGCTTGAACCTAAAAATATTTCTTCTGTTTTGAACGGCCTTTATTTTGTCTGCATTGTTATTTTCATATCATATTGAGTCAATAAATTTTCCCCCTGTCGGCTGCAAAGTCATGCATGTAAGTAAAGGTTTTTTTCATGAATTAGCTTTAAACTTCTAGAAAGGACTTGTGAGTAATAGCTATCTGAACATTTCTGTAAAATGTAAGACCCCCAAAAAAACTATTTAAATTTTGACGGGAAACATATCATGTGATGCTGTGACATTGCATCATGAGAAATTGACAACCATTGCTTTAGAGGCATTGCACTTGGACCAGTTGCTGGAAGAGAGAAATTTTAAGCTTCACTACTATAATCTGATTTTGCAAGGAAAATATGAGATATCAATGTCTGAAGAAGTACATTTATATGCAATGTATTTCTATGGGATGACAAGAATATGTATTCCCAAATTTGTTTTTTTGAGGCAATATTTTGTGGCATCTCACAGTTGGCTTCCTGGCGATGGGGTTCTAGGAAATCTTTTATTCCAGAACTTTTTTATCAAAAAAGGTTGACTGTTTTTTCAAAAGTAATTAATTCATTCAAAGTAAAGAAATCTTCGTAAGTTTGGGAATCATGCCTGATTGTGCTGCCTACGAATGCACCTGAAAATTCGCAATTCACCACTTTCAGAGTGGAAAAATTTAACATACCTCAAATTTTGCAAGGAATGCAGAGGGCATGGATCAAGTACAACACAAAACAAGAGCTTGTTATCTTCCTTCAAGGGCTCTGACACATGTTGAAAAGTGGGGGCCAAGCCCAAAATAACCACTCATAACAAAAGATTTTGAAAAAAGCTCTATTGTTTTGCAAAAAAGTGCTGTTCAATTATTTACTGTTTTGTCATCAATTAACCTTGATTCCTAAATGAGGAGAGGTCACATGAGAATGGCACACTTGTCTTTCCAAGGCTTATCTTTAATATTCTACCTTAGAGCAATTGGTGCCAGTGTAGCGGGCCTCGTAGGGGGGCTAGTTATGAAATATTTTCGCTGCAACAGCAAAACAACAGTCATCACTTTGTTCTTGTGGTCATGTTTTTAACTTTGAATTTTGCATGGCCAATATGTAAAAAAAGCTCACAATTTGAAAATTTGTGTGCATAAGCAATGTATTGCCACATGTGGTGAGAAAGTTTGCAGTCTAGGGCAGCAAATTCCAGCGAGATTTAATGCACACGAAGCAAAATTTCAAAAACTATATAATTTGCAGTTGACATCTAAACAGCAAGTTAAAGTTCAGCAAAGACTGATTTCAACATGAAGATTTCAATCTCATGATCAATTTTTGGCTAAGAATTTGAAACATTAAATTGATGGAGACTAAAGTGATAAAACATTGGCATCTTCGATCACAAAAACATTTTAATTGGGATCGAGAAACCTTGGAATCCTGTCTGCATATATCCTGCCTGTTTTTGGACCTGGTGCACATGAATTAAAAAACCTAACAAAAGATTATCCGATTTGCAAACGGCGTTTTATCGAATGATGGCCTCGTTCAACAGAATTCTTTAAGGTAATTCCTTGACATTTTACCAAAAAAAACAGCACAAAAATGTATACTTTACCGGTGAATCATAACACAATAAACATTCATCTTTATAAACTTTATCACCACCTCTTGGTATAAAATACTTCAAACTCTTCAGAAATTCACGCGACGCCATTTTCAGACATCAATCGAGCCTCTTTTACAGTTTCGTCTCGGTGTCGATTCCCGTTGATTGCCAAGGTAACTTGGAATCGACATTCTTGGAAGTGCAAAGATGAAGCTCTACATTGTAAAGGTTTCCCCAGCTTGCCGTGCAGTGTGGCTTTACTGCCTTCGCAATAAGCTTCAAGTTGAAATAATCGAAGTTGATCTTTTTGCAGGTAACTTTCAAAATCTATTCTCTGAAAATTATCCGTGCCCGTAACGTAGCAATGCATCTTGCCATCCATAATGTTTACATAGACTGTAATTCATCTAATAATCTCCAGTAAACCCAGTTTGAAGATTGTGACATTTACCTGCAAAGATACGATCTCTTGTGTATATAGCTTAATCGAGAACGCTGGTACCTATTTTTCCATCACTGTGAAATCAACGTATGATCTTTTGTGCGCGGGGAAGAATTTTATGCCGTCTACGATTGCGCGGGAACAAATCATGTTGCAAAATAGCAGGCTGAAAGCTGCGATTTAATTTTTTAGATAGCATTTATAAGCCTCATAGTAAGGCTGTGCACGGGATTTGCATGAAAAGTCTGTGTGCCAATTCGTTGATTGATCTAAATCTGCAAAAGTGCGCAGAGAGGATTTGAGGCAAAAATTTGACGAGTTCCCCACACATACCTAAACTTTGCAGTATAGTGTGTTTTTACATCTTGATATAATGAAATTTTTGCCTTATACAGAAGTAATATCAATTGCAGTTACAGCCACGCTATTTTTACATAGTAAAATTACTCACCCAGCTGTGCAGGATTCTTCTTTAACAGTAAAGGTTATCTTGTATGTAGACTTATTATCTCAAATTATGTTTTTCTCTGTTTATCTCAAATTATGTATTATACCCAAATGTTACATTGTATTTTTTTGGTAATTGCTCTCTGTCGCATAAATTTTTTTCCGGACATTGTGCTGTTGGCAAATGTGCAATTTTCATGAACTTGATACAGCTCACCTGCCCATCTTCCAAAGATTCCAATCTTGTACATTGTAATTGTATTAATTGCAGCAAAAATGGACCAAGTCATGACTTTGCTTTAAGCCAAGTTTACCTCTGTAATCATTTAGGGGAAAACCGCTGCTATGATCCTGTTTTTCCTTTTGCCTCAGCCAGGGTATGCTTGCAAAATTTTTAAGAGATTTTACTCTTGTGCATCTGTCAAGCTCTTCAGTATAGCTTCTATCCAAGTCTGCAGATTATGAGAGACACAAGCACAATGTCAGTGTAGTGTTGCATGCCAAAATTCAAGGCCCTGTTGAAACAAGAATGGTTCGAAAAAGATTTGTATCCATGTGAGTTGACCAAAGCATTCTGTCTGCACAAGACCTGCCTAACCATCCGCATTTGAGTTCACCACAAAAGCTTTCTCGTTTGCAACCAGTTTCCTTTGGTCTTGTGCAAACTTTGGAAACTAGATCTTTCTGAGAAAACTATCATAGTGAAGGCAAATTCTCCTGAAAAAAGGCTAAAACAAGATAAGGCCTCTTCAGTTGGTGCTGAGTTCATGTCTCGTGTGAACAAAACGTGCAAGTGAAATGTTTGGAAATAGTCTTGTGTAGAGAGAAGGATATGAACATATATGGAAGTGAATCTTTTTGGAAACCCATCTCCTGTCAATGGGGCCTGAAATTGCACACTATTATCAGTATCATTCTAATGATTTTGTTTGCATGGCATATGGCAGGTAAACTGGTTTGCATGAAATGACTGCAATGCACATACAAGATCTCAGCAGAAACAGCAAGATGGAGGGGCCAGATTCAAATTGAAAGGCTTTGTACAAATATGATTCTCAATAAAAAATCTGGCTTTTGTGGTCATAAGTTAAAATAAATTAGTGAACATCTTATTTTAGGTGAACACAAAACAGATGAATTTCTTCAACTAAACCCTCATGGGGAAGTTCCTGTATTAGTTGACGGTGAAACCTCTGTTTTTGAGGCTTGTGCAATTTTGCGATACTTGGCTTACAAATATACCAACCATAAAGACTTTGGAAACTCAATGCCCGATAGAATGAAGGTAGACTTTTTACAGTTTGATTTTGAAAAAGCGTGAAGGATTTTTCTGAAAATTAAAAATACATAAAAGTCAATGTATTATATGAAAAATCATCTTATTAATTAAATTTAATTTTTCTACCATTTGTTCTTGTTAATTTCATTTCTTATCATCTAGTGAAAATAAGAAACAGTTTTTATGGTCTCTTTAGCTCTTTAGCTTAGAACAGACTTTTGATTTTTGACAGAATATATTAGGTTTTAGGCTGGCAGTCTCTTGAATGTGTTGTATGAGAAATTTGTATGAAAAACCTTTCCAACCATGATTTAGAAATATAATGTAAATATTAGAAATGCAAACTTTACATTTTCTAAGCCCATCTTACTTCTTTTGGCAGGCTTTGTCCTTCATTACTTGGGCATCATCAGAAGTGCACAGAATTGTAGGATACAGAATTGTTTACCCACAATTCTTTGAAAAGTATCATCTTGCCAATGAAGCTAATGATGCATTAATTGACAAAGGCACAGAAGAATTAACAAAAATTTTAGAGACAATTGAAAACCATGTTCTTCAGCATCCAACTTTCTTGGTGGCAATGATATCAACATTGCAGATCTATATGTTGGCACCATTCTCACACAGCTTGAGTGGATAGAATTTGATTTTGCCCTATGGCCAAATACATCTTGTTGGCTAAGAAGTTTAAAGCAAAGTCCACATTGGCAAAAAGTCCACGAAAAGCATGATGGGTTCCTAAGGGAGCTCAAGAAATAAAACTTTGTATTCCTTGTAGTTAAAAGTTAATGAAGTTTAAATTGTTGTAGTTTAAATTTTAGCTAGATAATGAAGGATGTTATAAACTATATTATTAAGTTGTTATTAAGTGTGAGTAAAGTAAAGTGGTGTAGCGATGATCCTGGTGACACAATTAATTGAAAGGCTCACATTCTGTTGTCTAAATTGCTAATTGTCTTACATTTCCTATAATTTCATCTCAGCATAATTTTATACTGCTTTTTATCTCTTTGGAAGGCTACTGAAGGGGCAAAGAGCAGCATTGAGGCAGAGCACTGAGGCAGTTGTTCTGTGGCCCAGTGCCATTAGAGGACCCGAGGTGCCAAAAGGCCTGCCATTGCTCATGACAAGACTATCCCTATCTCATAGCAGTGTCACTTGCAAAGAGAGCATTTAGTGAAGAGAATTTCAAGAATTTGAATTTTTTATTCACATGAAAAGACATGTTACACAACTCACAACAGGCCTCTTTGAGAGCAAGATGCCTAACCATATCCCTTTGATTATCCAAATGTGTATGTTTATGCCCGTAATTTGTCTCTTTATGTTTTTTTTCAACAGTCCAAGAAAGAGAAACATGTTGATCAAATTATTTCATTTTGTGAATTATTCTGATGTAGAGAATAATCAATTTTTGAAAAGGTTTGATTTCATATATATAAATCAGTCATCAAAGCAAAATCATTATGCATACTGTAAGATATCTTTGAAACTTGCTTGCAGCTAACTATATACATCTCATGATTACCATTACAAAGTGCAGATAGAACAAACCTATTTAAATCGACTCTGTTGCACTGTTTCATACATCATTTTCCAAATTTCTACACACATGTTTATATACCACTTTCAGTGCCATTTAAATACTCTCTAAACTGAAATATTCTTAAATACCATTTCTCCATCTCATGAAACTTATAAATCTCTCAACAGAAAATATGCAGGCAATGCTATTGCCACTGTGCATCAAATTGTAACTTTTGTACTTCTTAAATTATCATATATTCTCATGTGCATTGTGCAAATTCTTCTAAAGTTCTTATTTTTTTGTATTATATGGTGGGAGATCACTGGAACATCTTATTATCAAATATATATCATTGTTTTGAACAATGTCACAGCTCTGCTTTTCTGCAGTATGGCAGAATTTCTCTATCAATCAAAAAAAGCTTGAAGGTCTGAAGGTCTGGTTTTTCATTGTCTTGATTGTTTCAATATTGACTCAATGCACAGATCACAATCTCATCGTTCATGTACCATACCTTGTTATTTAGTTATATGAGGCAACGATCCCTTCCTTTGTCGCTTCTGTTTCTGCTCCTTAGTGATTGGACTTATAACAGCATAATCTTCAAGATAATCAATAGACTTGTTCACTGCTAATTCTGTTTCAGACAGACCCACTCCACTTCTATGCAGAAAGTCTTGCATCTGATCAGTGTCCATCCTCTTTAGCACGTTGTTGTAATCATTTGGAATGTTTTCAACAGAAGATCCCTTCGCCCTGTGCAATCCTGTTCTTGAAAATGGACCACTGAGTCTAGACTCGGAGCCTCTGATTCTGCGATGACCAAAACTAGAGGACTTTTCTCTAGAAGATTTGCCTTCGATTTGATCCTCCATTGTGCGTTCCCTGTAGTAGCTGCTCTTTATTCCAATGTCATCTGTGTTTCTCAATGTTATGCGCCATTGCATTACAGCATTGTCATACCTTCCTACACTAACAAGATGCAATTTGGATGGAAGAAAACACACCTTGGTTATACTGCCAACATGAGTCGAATACTCTCTGTACTTCATCTGAAAAGAGAATATAGATATTATGCTTTCTGAAAATATATGCTATTTAATTTACCATAGAATTCTTGAACAAATTCTTGTAACAACCACAAGTGAAATAGTTGTACAGTAATCAAAATGAAATGGTATGTGTTATGAAAAATTGAAATAACTAATCATTATCATGATTTGTCAATTGTGATTTATTATGATTGTAATTCATGATTGCGTAATCATGAATTACGCAATCATTAGTTTGCTTTCAGTTGACCTTAGTCCCCAGCGTTTTTCTTCTTAAGTCAGTCTTGAAAGTTGACAGTTTACCTTGGTGTCAGAACATGGAAAGTTGAAGATTCGAAGCTGTCCGTACTCCGTTCCAGCACACAGAATTTCACCAGAAACAGACGTCGCTGCTGACAGAAACTTCAGATCAGATCCAGGCTTCCAAATCCCTTAAAAAACAAAATTTTCAATTTCAGAATTGAAATGCTCGAGGCCAATTAGACACTAAGTATGAACAATGAAGAACTGATTTGAGAGTAATGAGACATTGGGTCACATCAGTGGCGTATGATATTTTAATAATTATATTTTACGAAAAGGCGATTAACATCCAACGCTGCTGTATCTACGATTATGCACGACATTAATTATGAAGGAAACCAACCGGCTGTAGAGTAACTCAGCGTTGAACTCTGGCTTTGCCAATCCATGTCAGCAATCATTTGTAAATCTTGAGTCTCTGTCAGTTTTTCTGTGTTCACTTAAAGAAAAAGACAAGTGACATAATTACTGTGTGCTTTAGAATAGAATTAATGAACCCAATAGTTTAGAATCAAATCTAAATACAAAATTAGAATAAAATCAAAGCTGCTTATATTGAATAAAAAATCAATCATATGTAACCGTTCCTTTGATCAAGAATATTGCTTTCAATGGCTCTTATTTTTAATTTGTCATAGATGGAAATGGAACACAAACTGCCCATGTTTTTTCCCAAAAGCTGCTCTGTGAAAATTTTTTGTCAAGGATGACTTAGTCCTGTTGTTTTCCCTTGCCATTTAAAGATTTCTTTGATCTGGCATTTCAAATAAAAATGAATTGAATAGAGAATTGAACAACTTACAGATCACCTGGTCCCAATCTTCACTCAAAATTCTAAGATGACTTCCATTCCTCTCCCAGTCAATGGCAACGATCTTGTTGGCCTGGCACTGTAACAGTAATTAAACTATATAGTTATGTAACATTATCTCTTCAAACTTATATTTATCCAACAAACATCTCTGCGAACTTTGCAATGCAGATAGAGAAAAATTTAACAAAGTAAGGTATCAAAATGGCCGTGATCTTAAATTCAACAAGAGGTTTAATTAAGTATAAAAAAGTATTTTATCTAGGTATTGCAAAGAAAAAAATCAAAACAAGTTTTCTGTATTAAGGTTTTTTGGTAAGCATACTTTTAGTCTGACACCCTGTGGAGTAAAAACATAAGGTAATGACCAAAAGGTGAACCGAAATTTAAATCTAGATGCGGGCCACATGGGCGCGAGAAGCAGAACAGAGAGTCTGTTCCATGTTTTGACTGCTAACCTCCTTCTGTATCTGTAGTTTCACATTTAGACAGCAGCCTCTTTGTATCTACACAATGTAGACAGATTCTAAAACTTTTTTATAAAAAGACAACCTTTTGAATTTAGATTTGGAATATGGTTACACCTATGCATGTTGAGCGATAAAGAAAAACATATTCAAAACCTTTCAGACTACCCACTTCCTTTTAATGTCTCCAAGGACGAAAGAACACGATGAAAAATATATACCCAGTTGTGGATCGAAATAGGCCAATCAGAAAAACGCAAGCACAAGACCGGTATAGTTGACCAATCAGTGCCGCGTGCCTAAAGAAAGATTACCAATGGAGTCCAAGAGAGAAAACGAACTCCTTCTGTCTACACAATGGCGGCTTTTTCGTTTGTATGTAGATCGATTTCTGCCAATTATCCGAAACATGTTGTCATTATAGAGTTTTGCACAATCTGGGTTGTCTAAAAGATGTTGACCGATGGCAGAATCACTTGTTTTAACAGTGTTTCTAGAGCTACAAGATCGAGGAGGCTGTTCTCTTTGAGGGGAAGTTTTGTTTCTTATGTTGGAAGGAACATGCTGTTTTATCCTATCCCTCAATCTTTGGGTTGTGCGTCCTACGTAGCCAGAATCACACTGGCACGTAAACTCATAAATAACGGAACTTTTTTGGTTGGTATGAACGCAATCCTTTTGAATGGATGGAAGGGCTTTCCTATTGCTGTAAACAATACGAGGATTGACAGCAAAGAAACATTTTGTTATGGCTTGCCTAATCTGACTCTCGAATCGCAAGTGTTACCAATCCATGGCAGTTTCAAATAAACTGGGCACTTTTGCGGACCAAACTTTTGAACAGCCGAAAAACTTGCGATCTTCTCCTTAATATAAGATAAAATGACGTCTTCTGGATAGCCGTTGTCCAGAAAGATTCAAGATTAATCAAAGATTCTACTTTAAATCATTCGGCATATAAAAGTTCGAATATGTTTCTGAATTGAAAGTGAGCTGATAAAACGAATGATTAATTGTTAAAGATGCTACTCAAATAATTTGACAACATTATACGTTTGGTGCACTCTGGCTTCTCAAACTATGGCCGAATCATATTCCATTCGGGTTTCATTGACCTTTTCTGAACAAACACCGCGTGGCGGAGAAGAGAATGTTAAGCTCCGCTCTATTTCTTTTCGATCTATTTTCTGAATAACTTTTCGATCTTTTTTCTGACGTTTTATACTCTGAAGAGTGTCAGACGAAAAGTTTTAGTATGACACACAATGTTTACTTTTTTCAATGCTTTTTATGTTCACATATAGTTAACCAAATTCAAGTAGGACCTTATAAGTTACCTTAACGCTGGCAACCAGTCTGTAACTGTGGCCCTCGTCGTACACAGCAAAAAGATAAATGTCTCCAGTTGATGTTCCAATGGCAATATCGCCTCCCTCTGTGGCAATATCACAATGTTAGTATACATCACAGTGGTACAGTAAAGGATAAACGTAAACTAATATTTGAAATGACGTAAAAACCGAGTGGATTGATTAGAACTCTGATATTAACTTCCAAAAACAGGCTTGCTAAAGTTTCGTACCTGCAGAATATGCCATGCAAGATAACGCATTTTTTCCGCATTGAAATGAGGCAACATGTTGTCCATCTTCAGATTTCAAAACACACCACCTTAAGACGAAAAAGGCACACCACCTTAAGAATTATGTAGTGGATTCAATCAATAGAAAGAAAGAAAAACCAAGGATGTGGTTTTTGCCGAAGATAGTTCAATGCACCTGTCCTGACAGTCAATACGGCCAAAAGCAAACACGAATCGATAAAAAATATAACAAGCAAGTTTTCAAAATTAAAGATGTTGATCAAATGATTACCTTCCCGAATCCATGCCAACAGCAACAACATTTCCGTAAGGGTAGAAGGCAACAGATGTTGCGGGAAACTAGAAGGATACAAAATCAAAATATGAAGATGCACGATGAAGATAATTGTCATAAGAAAACACATTAAGCATTATCACATAAACCATTGCAAAACACATTAAGCATTATTTGCATATAATAAAGAGAGTGAAAAGCTCTTCAAAAATAATTATTCAAAAATTTCAGCTTGAACTCAGAAGAAACCCATCTCTAAAAAAAACTTGTCATACCTCAATTTCTCTATCCCAGATTATGGAGTTATCTTCAACGGATCTGTACGTAACAGACATATCCAAACCAACTGTCACAATGCAATTGTCACACGGGTTTGCAGCCAGTGATGTCGTTTCTTTGTTATGTCCCTTTAAAAGGTATCAAAAGCATTTACCTGACTTTAGCAATCAGTTAAAGAGGGACAGTGAACGATGTTTTAAAAGGCAAAAGAAATCTTAACCTATTATTTTACCTTACTTTCATCATATGACAAAAGTTTATCAACACGGAAAAAATATGCTCTTCCAATTGTTTTTTTCCGAGCAAAGACATTTGGGAATCACTTCTTGGAAACTGGTCCTTTTGTCTATTTTACCAACAGGCGCTCATGAAATTGAAAAATCACGTGCAAAATACCTTCATAATTGGCCTGAACTGTGTTTTAAGTGTGCCCTGCAAAATTCGATTCTTGGTCGTCCCAACAAAGATATCGGTATTGCCAACACTGTGATCATGATGATTGGGTGAAACAGCTATTGATGTAACGTCACCATGGTCCCCTGTGATCTATAAGATTATAATTTAAACTTTTAAACACAAATCTCTAAAGCTGTTAACAGCTCCAATAGGGATGGCGATGAAAAAGCCTTCTGTAAAAAAATCAACCCACCTAAACCTGAGTTATAAATTCTAATGGTTGTTTGTGTATCAAAAAACGGCGCTAATGGTCAACATCTTGTAATGACAAAGGACGGAACTTATAATAAAATGAAGTCATCTTTCCAAAAATTGTTCGCATTGATGACTGCTGATCTCATCACATTGTTTACAATATTGGCACACAATGCTTCCAAAATTTTCAAAAAGTCGTTTACAGCCAAAAATCATGTGCTGGTAGTGAGTTTAGGTGGAAGGGAACTCCCATATACAAGGGTCTATACTATTTTGGCGAAAATAATTGTAACTGGTACTACATGGCTTAATGATGAGGCTTGAAATGACTGCTTCAGCGAGGAGTCATTTTGAAAATAAGTCACAATTGCGCCATTCCTATTTTCAACAAAATTTATGAGCATATTACACAGCCATAAAAAATAGATATAAAGAGTCATTTAAAGGTTTATATAAGATCTATAGCAACTTTCTTAAGCAGACATGATTGTCTATATTGCCCTAGTTCATTCATGTATTTTTGTGTGCAACACACCTTAATTTTTGCCGCTGGCTGCTTCGATCCGTCCCTTGTTTCCCATAATGTCAGGAGTTTGTCATCGACTCCATATGTAAGCAACAAATCGTGTGAGAGGACGCACAACGCTTGGATGCTTCCCTAGAAAACCGAAGACTTTAAATCAGAAATATGAAAAACCTAGCTACCAGTAGATCATATGATCAGATGTCTGTAAATCATAGCAAACTGCATGTGCTAGAAAAAGTAAACTATAAAACCAAATAACAGGAAATAATACACCATTTCAATAACCGACCTGATAAATTGAACTGAACTGGGAATTACTCGAAAGTCGCTGTACGAATTTTTAACTCAAGCAAGAATTATAACCTGTCCTGCTATGTGTGTTTTCTGTTGATCATGTGACTGCACGTAGAAAATTCAGTGAAAATGTTTCTCACTTTGTTTTGAGATGCTAGTATGGATGCTTCGTTATTGGTAAATGTCCATCATTGGTAGATGTCCGTTATTGGTAAATGTCCATCATTGGTAGATGTCCGTAGATGTCCATTGGTAGATGTTATTGGTAGATGTCCGTATTCGTAGATGTCCATCATTGGTAGATGTCCGGTAGATGTCCCGTAGATGTCCATCATTGGTAGATGTCCATCAAATGTCCATGTCCGTTATTGGTAGATGTCCGTTATTCGTAGATGTCCGTTATTGGTAGATGTCCGTTATTGGTATTCGTAGATGTCCATCATTGGTAGATGTCCGTTATTCGTAGATGTCCGTTATTCGTAGATGTCCATCATTGGTAGATGTCCATCATTGGTAGATGTCCGTTATTGGTAAATGTCCGTTATTGGTAGATGTCCGTTATTCGTAGATGTCCGTTATTGGTAGATGTCCGTTATTGGTAGATTTCCATTATTGGTAGACATCCGTTATTGGTGGATGTCATTTAATGATTGTTTCATGGCAGTTTGATGCATATTGTTAGGATAAATTGTTAAAAAACTTTTTTCATGTAATTTTCACCGTCTATCAAAAAAAATTGCAAAAAGTTCTTATAATTGAAATGTTTGGGTGATTTGGTATAAGAAATGATCCATAATACAACAGTTTAAAAGGCAAATAGCCAACGCATTCTCAAAGGAAGTTCTATGCGAAAACAGAAATAAGGTACCATGTGTGCATTTTTAATGACATCACGGTGCTTTCTGCTTCCTAAAATAAAAATAAACAGCATTCAGAAATGTCGAAATGCAAAAGTAACATTTTTTATTCAGAGGAAATATATGACTCAACAGTCCTGGACTTGCGGTACAAAACATATGCTTGATTATCATAAATGGAGGTGTCTACATGACAGGTTACTCGAGGTAGAGACAAAACAGTGACAAGGTGCTAAGCTACCTTCCGGCCAAAAATGCAAATTTCCATTTGAGTCTCCTGCAACAGCTTCACCATTTGAGAGGTAAGAAAGGCAATTTATGTATTCTGGATTTGCACATGTCTAAAAGAAAATTAAAAATTATGGAAACAGAAACATTTAGTCTTTAAGGAAATATATCCATATTTGTGCGTGTGAACAATACAAACACGGCATGTTTATGGAAACATATTCAACTAAAGGGTTTTTATTCGTTGTTATTCATTGCAACTTATCTCCAATGTTCTGCAATGTTCTGCCATGGTCTGCAAAGATCGGTAATGATCTGCTATGATTTGCTATGATCGGCTATGATCTGCTACGATCCGCTATGATCTGTTATGATCTGCAATTATCTGTTATAACCTGCTAAGGTCTGCTACGATCCGAAGCGAGCAAGCCCAAAACCGAAACAAAAACTTACGAAAAAGTGTCCCTTATACTTTTCCAGGTGGCTTCCTCTCCAATTCCAGTAGAATATATGATTCTTTCCTGTAGTCAGCAAACTCCGATTTGAATGAGGGTGAACTTTATTGAGAGCTCTTCTTCTTCGTAGCTCTGAGGAAATTATACTAATTAATGCACCTTGGGTAAAGACATTCTAGACGTGGACTATTTTCAAGAAGCAGAAAAATTAATTGATGCATTTGATATATATGTGTTCTTGGAATATCATAGAGAGATCGCAAGTCAAATGAGTTTGTTAGGGAAGAAATCAAACGACAGTACGGCAAAATTGAAAGCATTTTGAATATTCTGAAAACATGGCAACTTAAATGGTCCGGCCATGTAACCAGAAAAAATGAAGCTATCTGTAAAACTATTTTGGATGGACAAGTGGAAGGAAACAAGTAAAGCGGAAGATCCAAGAGAACGTGGAATTATGATATTAAACATTGGACAGGCCTGAGTGTGACTGGGGTAATTAGAAGAACTGAAGACAGAGAGACATGAAGACGGATGTTAAAGAATGGGTGCACCAATGGCCTCTGTAAGGACACGATGATGAATTTGTGGATTAAGGAAAATAAGGTACCACAAATCCAAAGACTCAAGAAAACTTTTTATCAGAAAAGCACGGTCAAGCCTCTAATCAGCCCTTTCTTTGATTGCCAAATGTCTAAGAATGCTTAGCATGTGTGGTTTTATCGAAATTTTCCAAAATAGAAAAGACATTGTGCTTTGTAGCCCAACTTACCTGACTTTTAGCTAGAATTTCCTTCGAATTCCACTGCCAAACCATCATTCTTTGATTGTGCCCATCGCTATCTATGCATGCAATCTTTCGTCCAAAATCCTAGGAAACCAAAGTTTTTCGCATTTCTAAAATTTGAAAGGAGGCTCCGAAGAAAAAAGAGCGTGCAGACGCTAAAAAAAGACGATAGTGAAAAGTAACATAAAAATATTGCATGAATGATAGTCTGGTCTAGCACAAAACTTCATTTATTTATTTCCCCATTAATTAATAAACTGATTAATTTATTTATTTACATAAACACTTATTCATTATCATTTATTATTATTTATTTATTTCCCCATTACTTAATAAACTGATTGACTGATTTATTTATTAAATTCCATTTCTTAATAAACTGATTGACTGATTTATTTACAATAGAAATTCGTATTCATTATCAAAGCTCAAATCAACCTAGAAATAAAAAAAAACAACTCGCATAATTCATCAAATTAAATGCCACATTTGTTGAAACAAAACCTATTTGCTCTATATGAACTTTAAAATTAACTAAATAACGAACTAAAATGTGAAAGACCTCGATTGAAAAAGCCAACCGCGTGACAGAGAGAGTCTGCTCATCCAGGCTGAGAACAGCGAGAGTATTCAGCATCTCTGCATTCCAAATTCGTATATGATCCTTGAAAAATATTAAAAATGTCAAACGTGGCAGTTTCTTATCTACATATTGTCAATTAGCAACATTTCTCCTTTTATATTCCATTTCTCATAGTTCTCAGTATTTGGTCCGTTGCTTTCTCTAGGCTTTTTTTATTCCAGCCTTAAGTAAAAATTTACCAGAATGATCATTGAGTGATAAAGAAGTAAACCTGTAGGTAAAATACCAATCTTTGAATTAATAAAAACTCGAAACATCGTGAAGTTAGCTGAGATATCGCCATGAATAAACACAGTATACATTTGATAATATACTTAATACAGTATACAGACTGTTGCTTGAGGATTGCATTAAGCGTGAACCCGGAGTAGCAACTAGGATTAGAACGTCCTTTTCTAAACACCAAATAGCGTAATACAGAAATACATATTACGTGATATAGTATACATCATACAGAAGTGAGAACAACCTAAAAAGTCAAAACTGATAACTCACAATAACTTCGACATTGTAATTTTCAGGAGCTGCCTGCCCAGTGGCAACATACCAATTATTTGGATGCAAAGCCATGCTGCAAAAGGACATTAATCCATAGAGATAAATAAATCAAGACAAATTATATTTGCAATAGGCCACATAATTCTAATCAAGAAATTCTAAGCATAAGCCACCTTTGCATAAGGAGTTATAATGTTACATTGATGGTGCGGCATACTTGCCAAAATATTATGCTTTTTGGCTAAAATAAGCAAAAAATTGAAATTTTACGAAAGCAAGGAAACGCCAAAAGACTTTTTTTCCATCTTTCTGTGCTATCTATAAATTTTGTAGTACCAAAAGCTACTTTGGTAAAAAATTGAGCATAATTTAGGCAAATGTCTTTGGCAACGGGTTGTCGAAAAATCCTGTCAAAATGGGAATTTCCTTATTCGTTGATCTTGTTTTCGTATCCAGTACGAGGCAAACTCGAGTGACCAGTATCGCAGGAAAACTGGTCAGCATACATACGTAGAACTTATCATTTCACATCACTCGATGACATGACAGTGTGAAAATGAATATTCTCCCTGCAAGTGGCCTTGGTATAATGATAGGCCTATTCTGCGTATCTTCTATAAAAAAACTTCGTACCACGTGATCTTCATTGTGTGTTCTGCATAGTATCGTTGTTTTTGTCGGTAAATGTCATAAATAATGACAACAGAAGCAACGTAATACATAATTTCTTCTGATTTCAAGATGAAAATGTTGTCCCTTGAATCTTGACCATTATACCCGTATCTATATATGAATGTTAAGATAGACAATTATAGTTATGTCTCCTCTGTTTTCTGCCTGTCTATTCCATTATACAGTTGACCCCCGTCAAGGCAAACCCTGGATAACTCAGACTTTCACTAAGTCTGACCGATTTTCAATTCCCGTTGGATATTCTACCTCAAGCCAAAAGTCGAAACCCCGGGTAAGGGGGATCATTTCCTTACCCTCTCCTTCCCCTTCAAGGCCAGTTGTATATTTCTACATAAAATTTCCTCTTTATCTAGAGATTCAAATGTACGCATCGATAACTGGCCCTATTTCTGAACCTTAGTTTTTGTGTGAATACATAGTGAAGAAACAAATATTTTATCCACTTGATAAAAGATGACAGGGTATTATGAAATGATACATCCAGCTGAGCTGCAATTTCTGCTCTGGTGGCTTAAGAGAATCCTTTCTTTTTAAATTCTCATCGTCCTTATTTGATGGTGGATCAAAGACATAGCACTTTCCTTTGATCGATATGGTCTTTCTCTCAAGCTGACTCCCTGTGAATTGAAGCAAGAAAGTTAATTGGTATCCATCCCTATGGTTGTATGCTACTTGGCTAGAAAGAGATATCCGACGGTCCTGGTATGGGTGGAATTAAAATGAGCACTTGAAACTACTCAGAAACTGATAAATAAAAATGAGAAAAACAGGGTTTGCTTTATATCAAACATAACTGTGAATAGATTGTTAAAGGCAGAGCATGAAAATGAAAAACCAGAAATAAATTTGTAAATGAATAAAACATGTCCAAGTAATAGGCACACTTCTTGTTGAAATAAGATTCAACCAATCTGTAAAGAAAAACATCAAACAAGATGCAAACCTTTGCCGGTGATGACGTCATACTTAGATGGCTTATGCAGCTGAACTTTGCCTGGGTTGCCATTGGTGCTCTCGCTATCACCAGAGGCTTCACTTTGGCTCTCATTGTACATGCCAGTTGAACTGACAATCGCCACAAACGTGTCTGTACCATGAAAAAGCTCTGACAAACCACGAACCTGCAAACAAATATGCTAGAGGTTTTGAACCAGCTCAAACAAAGCAGTAGAAAACGTCAGCAATATCTGCAGGGCTTAAAGAAGTGAAGGTAACAAGATCAAAAAGGATAACATCGCTGAAATCCACGTTAAAAAAATTATAAGCAACAGAGTAGACTTTCAGTCGCTGATCGAGTGTTCATGTCATGCCATGGTCGTGTCAATCGCTCACAATTTTTCTAAGTATCCTTTGTAAGGAAACTTGTAAAACAGATGAAAACACAGGCTTGTAAAGCAGATGAAAACACAGGCTTGTAAAGCAGATGAAAACACAGGCTTGTAAAGCAGATGAAAACACGGGCTTGTAAAGCAGATGAAAACACAGGCTTGTAAAGCAGATGAAAACACAGGCTTGTAAAGCAGATGAAAACACGGGCTTGTAAAGCAGATGAAAACACAGGCTTGTAAAGCAGATGAAAACACAGGCTTGTAAAGCAGATGAAAAAACGGGCTTGTAAAGCAGATGAAAACACAGGCTTGTAAAGCAGATGAAAACACAGGCTTGTAAAACAGATGAAAACACGGGCTTGTAAAGCAGATGAAAACACAGGCTTGTAAAACAGATGAAAACACAGGCTTGTAAAACAGATGAAAACACAGGCTTGTAAAGCAGATGAAAACACAGGCTTGTAAAACAGATGAAAACACAGGCTTGTAAAACAGATGAAAACACAGGCTTGTAAAGCAGATGAAAACACAGGCTTGTAAAGCAGATGAAAACACGGGCTTGTAAAGCAGATGAATAGCCCACTGAACTCCCTTTAAATTATCCAGCTCAAATTACATCCAAAACAACTTCTGGGTATGTAGCAAAAGTAAAAACTCATCTTCTGAGCCACTCACCCTTCTTCCCTTGTTGGTGCACAGCCGAAACACTCTTCCTTCTTTGGGCTGAATTATGTAATTCAATTCTTGTAGCAACTGAGAGAAACTTTGAAGCTTCGTTTCATCGATTAGGACTTTCCATGGCATCGAACTGTTCTCGTTCGTTATTACGTTTATCAATCTCGCTTTCTCTTTCAAAACTTTCTTCCATCTGTCTTTAGCAATTTCTCTAGGATTTTTTGAAGTCTACAAAAAAGTGAACTTGTAACAAAAGGGCAAGCATTATGTTTCATAAATAAAACAAATGAATGTCAGGTTGATTAAATTAACAGATATTTTAAAAAACAAATTGATAGATCATCAAGGGTCTTCATCAGTAATGCCTGCCCATTTTACAAATAAAAGAGGTTTAAAAATTCACAAACTTCTGATTTTTCGGCCGCGACTGAAAGAGCTTGCATAAATCTTTTATCGCCAGTTGAGAAAGCGAAGAAATAAGATGCCCCATCTTCGAAGTCATCGACTGAGCGCAGCAGTCGCCCATTCTGGTTGTAAATTCTCTTCTCGCGATCTTTTAAATTGAGGATTCGGCTGAGTTCATCAATCAATGTCTCCAAGTTGAGATATTTTCTGGAATCGATAATGATTCGAAGTGCTGGCTGGTCACTGTCTGATTCTTTGTAGAATGTCACAACTTTTTGGCTATCTGCTCGTCGATTTGCCAGTAGCTTTGAGCTAGGAAACGATCGTTTAGACGTAGCTTATCATTGGCATGCGGTGGATCAATATTCAAAAAATGAGTCAATCAGTGCAAGCAGTAAACCAAGATAAGAACTGTTGGCAGGAACAACACAGAATGACAAAAGAAACTCAATACAAGGAAAATATGTTGAGTAAATGGAGTACCAATTCGGCAGAGTGAAAATATTGGGCCACTGTTTTTGACAAGCAAAACTTCCCTGGCACAATTCATGTTTCGACTAGATCAGTTATTCAATTGTAACAATTGAGATAGGACGACGATTGTCCCTGGTGGGGCACATTCCCAGTCTGGGTGCAATATTACCCTTTAGATAAACGCTCTTTGTCAACAAAATACAAACAGAAAGGCGTTTAACCGTCAATTTTGTAATCAAATGGTGCTTCGGAAGGCAGATGGATGAGTTTGTGTCAAGCAATCAGAAATTGCTTACCTGTCTTGCGACCTAGCTTCGTTGCTGGCTTTATCGTTCGTTCTCATGGCAACAGAGTAGGCATAGGCCGTCGTAGCCGGGTTTTTGTCAAGCATAGTGCTGTGCCACTTTATAAGAGCTGCAAGGCAGGCGCGCAAAATTATTACCAACAACAAAATGGCTTCTAAGAATAAAGAAAATAATAAACAATATAATGGAATGCAGACAAAATGCCTCATTCTGTCGATATATCAATGCTACAAGACGGTCATCATAAGGAACGTTTTAAAAATGAGGAGTTTTACTTTTAATATCTCAACCTAGGAATAAAACATTTGGTTCCCGAGATATAATTTGGCAGTCAAGAGTGAAGCAGTGCACATACTAGATGGTTGCATATGGCAGAAGCTTAACACACTTTTTCCAAAGCTCTTCTACCGAATCGACTTAAAGTCCACAAGGAAAAATGGGCTGGTTAACAGTTTCTCATACTGTAATTGTTGCCTCGGCAGAAAAACGTTTCACTTTGTTTGAGGATTGATTCAGAAGCTTCATATTATGCAAATATTTCTCAATCATCGTTAAGTCGTTTCAGAAAATGAAAGATAACACTCACCTTTCTAGATTTCAGCCTTCACAAGGGATTGTCTCAAATGTTTGAAGATAAAATTCTATCAGTTTACATGTTTAAATTTCCAGTTACTATGGCCACTTTGAGCAAGTGGTCGAGACTTTGCTTAGACAACCCTCACTTGGTAACAAACTACGAAACGGGGGCTACCTCAGTTGAACCATGCTTAACACAACGAGGGATATTGTTTTCAAAATCGACGCTTGATGCCAAAAACACCGAAACATGGAATAACGAAGAAGTCAACGCAAAACATGATCATTAAACTTCACATTCGTAAAATCTTTCAAGCACAACATTCTACAAAGATATTTTATATCTCGATAGCAAAATGGAGAAATAATGGGAATAAAAAATGAAGAATCGGCGCTTCCTATTGGTTAACATTTGAATTTTTACCCTCCCGGATTGAAAAGGCTGTTCATTAATTATGTAAAATGCTTGTGCCTTTCCCTACCAGACAATAGTTTGCAATTCAGGCACTGAATGCCATTAATAACAAATCGACGAATGCGGAATTGAAATCCAAAACAAATAAATATTTAATGAGGAATAGGAATGTAGAATTTTCTTTCATTCAGTAGAAAATTTAAAGTACGTTTCTTTAAATAATATTCACACGAAATCCTTAATAAGTCTCTAGTCTTGCACTGAAATTTGTTTAGCACGCGATTGAAAAATCTGAGAACAATTCCAAAAATGTGCTCAGAAAAAGCGTAGAAACGTGACTACACCGCTGCTTTCGAAAATGTCTCCGAAAAAAGAAAACAAAACCTTTAGTAAAGCCAGAAGAAAAATATTTTTATATAATAGCAATTTATTTTTAGACGATAAGCTCAAGACTGCAGAAATAAAAACAAGAATCATAATTGAAGATTTTGGGAACAGTTTGTGTTGCTCTGAAGTATAAAATGTGACAGGTAGCATTTGAAAAGGCTTAAATATATAGATTTTCTAAAGGTCAATGACGGAAAAATCGCTAGTGACAAGGCTTTGAACCTAATAACTGCAAAAAATAGACCTCTGAATATTGCAGAAAGCAGGGCAAAACAAAGTCTAACGTTTTCATTGTACCTCCTTTTCAAGTTGAACAATAAATAGTCTATCTGAAATATTTGCTTGATGTTGCAAACGCTTTAGGTCTCAGTTTGTATGTATTCAACATCATTACGCCTAGGCAATGCCTGTCAAAGAATTTTGGTTTCATTCTGTCTCATTCAAATTTAAGATAGATCTTCATTTCAATGGTTTTTTGTATGAGCACATTGTCGAATTACGATTGCAGCTTATAAACCAAAACTACCATAATGTATGGGGCCTTCTGACCCCTAAAAACATGTCGAACTGCACTTAGAGGGTGAAGCCAATCAAAACAGTTTTATGGATAAAGCAGAAGGCAGGTGTGTACAATTACAGTGAAAAGGGGCGTTAAAAGGGTCGTGAAAAGGGGCGTTAAAAGGCTGTAGGGGGCATAAATACAAAAGAAATACTTAAAATCTAGGAAAATGGAAATGAACATCTCCACCACGGCACCCAGTTACCAAAAGGGGTAATATTGGCGAGAATGCAGAGGTCAAGACACTCCTTTTATGACTTATTATTGTATTTACAACACTAAGAGGTACTGCTGACATTTCTGGTGCACAGTAGCAAAGTTCATTACAATTTGGATCAAAGGAAAGAAGTCTAACTCCATTTTTAAAAGGTGAGCAAATGAGTCGTCCATCTGAGCTGAAGCAAACCTCCTTGATGTAACCTTTTGCTGACTTGGATTCTTTGATATGATGTGTCATGGATGAAGAAGAATGAGTACAATCATTTTTGCAGCCTATGGAAAATGAATTTGAAATCATTAATGAGTTACCAATGAATGGCGAGTATAACATTATATCGTCTCTTTGATTAGCATTGATTAGGAAAATGTCTTCAGTTTCCCAAGCAGTGCAGTTAATTGCAGGCCTTATTAAGGCAATAAGTTACACCACCTTTACAGGAACATTCTTAGGCCCTTTACACACTAATATTTTCATTTCATATTTGATTCAGTTTCTGACTCTGAGACAAATTTTTTGCCTGTTTACATGATACTGTTGTCATTTCATCTTGAATTTGGGGACCTGTTTACACAAGAACCCTATACTGCACCAGAATTCTATACTGCAGGAAGTTTGCCGTTTGTTTTATCAGATCTGCAAAGCAGCATTTTCATTTTATATCAGATTCAACCTTTTAAACAAGCAGAGACAAATCAAATTGGCTTCATTCCACATTTAGAGTGTTTCATTTTAAAATGTGAGAACATAATGAAACCAATTGATGTTTAATGAAAACAGTAGACGTAAAAAACATGTTTTTTTTGCTTTGACTGTTCACATTACTTCCATTTTTGTTAGTTTGTTAGTACCTAGGGTTTCAAAAACCAGTCCTGGCTGTTCAATATGGGCAATCACCCACGTGTGCACCAGCACCCGCTTAGATAGCTGGAGAAGGGTGATTAATTGCCCTCCTCTCCATCAATTTTTATAATCCTCAATTTTTGTAGATACCTAATTTTAAAAGCATTTTGAAAAAACCTCTAAATTTGGTGTTAAAAGCATTCAGTGTTTTAATCACCAAAAACAGTGAAACTCATCAATGTTCCTATTGTTTACAAATGCTTATGAAATTTCTAATGTTTGTTTTTAGTTTCTTCTTAACTTCTAGCCAATATTTAGGCATGGCTCTTATATTACTTTGCTTCTGAAAAATAGTGCACTTAGAGGAGAGGAAGCAGGCGTGGATCTAGACTGGGTTGACAGGTTTCAAATTTCGGATTTCTAGAAATTCTTCATTTTATGTTTTAGCAAATATAGGGAGAAGAATGTTTATCAATTATTATCACCTCTCTTAACCTTATCAATATTAATCATTATCATTGCTCTATATCAACGATATTTCATCGCTCTGACATGAAATTTGCATTTTTCAATTATTGCGGCTGTGGTGCCAGGGGTAAAACTGCTGGGGGGTATAGGGGGCCCTGCACCCCCCCCCAATCTTAAAAAAAAACAGATTTTGTCGGGCAAATTTATGGCTGCCATTGCATCTGTCAGGCAAATCTGGAAATTTTCTTTAGGTCGCATTTTTATTGCTACTTTTTGCCCTAGCTTGGTTTTTTAATTCATGGTTTTTTCCCCCATCTTTTTTTCAATCTCCTCCCAGTTGGGAAAGCAAAACAGAAACAGCAACATGTATACATTTCTGTCTTCCATCCACCAGGCCATGCTGGGAATAAAATGGCAGGGGTGCAATGAATCGCACTCCTTGTGGTGCCAAGGCGTGCAATGGTGTGCTATCGCACCAAAGTACTTAATAATACAGTCAGCTGTATATGGACTAGACTACATAACTTTATCATAAGAAAACATAAGCAAGGCTAGTCCAATCAATACATTTTATCAAACAAGCTTTATTAACGTCAAACCCAACATATTAAAGAGAAAAACGTTAACAATAAGGTAGGTTAATTATTATGTAATCCTGCAGTTTATAAACCCTTCTGGTCTGCTTCTCCTGACAATCTCGTTCTCAAAATTTAAGAATTCTAACTGTGTTTTCACCATAAAGAAAACTTATCTGTTGACTAGTGTTAGAACGAATTAAATGGTTAATTGCACGTTTATATTTTGTAAGAAAGCTACAGCTAAATCCTCACAATTCAAAGTCTCTTAATTTTAGAACATTTTTGGCCACATTTTATTAGTAAAAGTTTCTAAAGAGTTTTGTATTTGCATACAGATAAGAAAAATGCACATAAAGTAAACTGTATATAGAGGAATTGTGAGTCCTGAGAAAACGGGATTTTACTGATCGCACTTGCAAGATACACTCGTAAACCACAGTGTAATCTGGGTCAAATCATTAAGATCAATAATCAATATAAAGATCAATAAGCCTGTTTAAATAAACAAAGCCTTACATGTGCCATGGGGTTGTAACTACAGTGGAATCCCGATATAACGAACTCTGAAGGGAACCAGAAAATAGTTCGTATATCGGGAGTTTGTTAAACCGAGAGATAATGTTTTTTGGGGGTCCTTTCGCAGTTCACGCCTAAAAAACCTGTGGTGGGCTTGTTTAGGCTATCTCCAACCTCTGTACACATGTACAGCCATACAAGTACCATTTAACTCAAAAAAACCAATCTGAATTCAAATAATACAACTGGCTGGTCATTGAAAATGAAAATCTTAATGTTCCTTTTATAACTTGGGACCAAGAGATTGGCAAAGCTGGTATCACTTCACTTCTAGTTGGCGGCTGAATGATGTCTTCGATTACTTCACATTCTTGCTTGTCTTCTTCTGGTTCTCCATCTGGGTCTCTCAATAAAGTTTTGTCGTCGCTCATTGCTAATGCCTTATATGTAAGAAGTTATTTGTTAGTGTCAATGTACTCATTCGCAGTAATTTCTGACGCAATCGAACTTTCATCTCGTGGTCTGAGTCTATCAGCTAGTGCTAGAAATGTATCATCGGCATGTTTTGCCGATTATAAAAATGATTTCTCCCCAAGAGAAAGTGATAAATGAATACCAAAAATAAATAAACAAAAATAACAGATGAAGAATTTATGAAAGTTCGTTATATCAAGGGTAATTATGATGAAGGGACCTGAAAATGGTTCGTGATAACGAGAGTTCGTTATATCCGGGGTATGTTATACCGAGAGAATTTGTAAGGAGTTTGTTAGGCAGAATCCAAGGGACCAGGCATTTAGTTCGTTATACCGGGAAGTTCGTTATATCCGGGGTTCGTTATATCGTGATTCCACTGCAGTTATTGCAAATGAGACAAGCGACCACAACTGCAAAGCAAGGATTATCGGCCTAAAAGGTCGAGCGATTTTCAGACCTCAACTCAAAACTTTGATAAAGAAATTATGGAAACCTTCCTTTACAGGGGTTTTTCGCCACTTTCAGAACTTCTGTTAGTTTTAAACATGGTATCATTGTGTGCCTTGAAAGTCCGGCTACTAGAATCTGAAGAAATCGAGAAGTGGATGTTTTCATTCAAAAAACGTTTACCATAACTTTAAGCAAATTAGAATATTCGCCAAATTTTTCGTCAAGTAGAAATCAAATAGAAACGATTGCGTGATTATCACCGTTCCTTCATATTGGTCACTTTAGAATAAAGTGTTATTTGCAGATTATTTAAGGCGTGCGATAAACTGCACTTCTGAGCAACGGTAGGCGTGTGCCAAGGCGTGGGCGTGCGATCGCACGCCATTCCCAGCATGGCCTGATCCACCGATCAGCGCTTTCATCTTGAGCTTGATGCACACATGTTTATCTTTGCCTTGAGATGAAGTCTGAAGTATTGATCGACAGCGAAAGTATAGATGGAAAGTAAAGTGTGTTTGATGCGAGAAGGAAATGAACACTGTGCATACCCCTCCCCCCTACTTTTTGCAAAATCTTTTGTTGTGATTTCTAAATTTTCCTTTGACAAGCCCCCCCCCCTCCAACTGTCCATCCTGCCACAGAGCCTATGGAACACTGACAGTTTTAGAAGCATCATAAATCAAAGCATGAAGGATATACCATCTCGGAATACCCAGGCTTTCTATTTTGGAGGGGCTAATTTTTTATCAATAAATTTTTTTCATTAAATAAATTTTTGAAAAGTTACCAGTTACCTAAACCATGCAAAATATCTGCTGACAAACTTTCGTATTTTCTGAAAAACTGACAAACTTTGTGAATAGATATAGCTTACTCTGAACTTAAACAAAGGGAGCTGAGCCCTCAGAGCCCTTCAATACACCCCTGAAATCCCTTTGTTGGCAATGCAAAATTTGCTTTCAAAATCTGCTATACATAATTTGCTGATTGATATATGACGGTCACAATGCACATTCTTATCAGGCGAAGAGAAGAGGGTAGGTATTTTCGGGGGCTAAGAGACCTAAGGATGTATTAGACTATCCCAGGGGCAAAATATGGTTCCTAAAAAAATGCATTCAAATATAACCCAGCCAGAAATTTCTCTGGATCCACACCTGGGAAGTGTATATCAATTTTCTATGTCTAAATTTTTATGCCAACTAGCCAATCATTGACCTTTACAAAATTTCTGTCTTCTAGAAATTTTTTAAATTTCATTTATTTTCAAATTTTCTTTGCTCCGAGCACTGAATATTCTAAATTTTTCTGGTTGCCCAGTACTCATTTATTATAGCCAATTTCTTATGAAAAAAGAGTGCATCTCTTTGGTGGTTGCCCATAATTATCACCATAAGTGTTACATTGTTGTCAAACCTGCCACACTACTTTGTCCCAGCCAGCCTACATGATTTGCTGCATTTCAACTGAACTTATAAAAAGCAGCATGTGCAGTAAAAAAAAGATTTGCTCTGAAAATAAAATTACCTCCAAGGTGGAAATCTTGAATATCATGAACAGCAAGGTACTCGGTCATATCATCTTCACTGAGATATCTTGATACAATGC